TCTCCACTGCGTAATATTTCGGAGAAATTTCAGACTGGGAGGAAGCTTCTTGGAGGTTCGCGGACGAAATCACAAGACCATCAATCTAACAAGGAAACGATACTTGGTGTCCGTGGCCTTTTGGGATGAAACGTATACCATCACACTCGTTTTAGAACGCTGATTCCAAATCTGACTTCCTTTTCTGCTAATCTTTCCTCTGAAAGAAGTTATGAAGGATTTTCGCGCCAATGATCGCCTAAGAGAAATGCGGCCGAGGATGCCTAACTTTCAAAAAGAAGCTTATTGAGGCAATGCAAAACTGAAAAATACAAAAGGACTCGAACCCCAGCCTACATCAACTTGCGAGGCTATCGCACTGGCCACTACACCACATCTTAGTGGCTGTTTTGGCATTCCGAACACGTCTCCTTTAACGCAAAAATCCTTCATAACTTCTTTTATAGAAACCATTAGCAGAAACGGAAGTCAGATTCGGAATCAACGCTCCAAGATGAGTGTAATGGTGTACATCTCATCTCAAAAGGCCACGGACACCAAGTATCGTTTCCTTGTAAGTGTGCATTACTGTACCCGAAAATTTTAGACACCAACATTACAAAGCTGTGATTGCTCCACTTTGTGACAATAGTGCTTGTTGCTGATCGAGTCCGGAAAGCTTGTCGAATGCGAATTGGGAAAACACAAGCGTACAAAGATCGGCGGCTGAAACTTCAGAAAACGTAAAAAAACCAAGTTCGTGCTCGCTGTCGCGCTCGGCGGAGAAAACTGCGCGTCGCTGCCGCTTTGCCGATCAGGGTACGCTTGTGCGTTTCGAATTCGTCTTATACAAGTTGTGCTCGGGCAGGGGACTATATGTCGTCGAAAGGAGGTCCCGCCGGACATCCGTACAAATACACATTTTGCGCGCGCTATTGGCCGGCGTCACAGGCGTAGCTAGTTGTTCACGCGCAATTTTTACAGCTTTACCTGCAATGCGAGCAACTATATTAAGCGAAAAATCTGCTCGACAGTTAAAGGTAAAAAGGTTTGAAAAATCAAATTATTGAGCGCAACCAAATCTGGGGGAGTGAAATACCCAGGCAATCGTTTTACACAAGACAGACGAGACAGAAATGGCAGCAATAGCATATCGAAGCTTCCACAGCAACCAGATATGAGACACAAGGATAATGTTTGAGAGTAAAACTGCACATAAGGGGAACAATGAAGGAGCATGGAGGATGAGACGCTGGCGGCGGCTGCTACCGGCAGCTACGGGCAGCTGCCACCGCGATATAAACACTTTTGGGAGATAAAATGTTTTAGAAGCTCCTCTCCCCTCCCTTCCACTACTTTTGTGATAAGAAATTACCAACACAGAATCTTCAAAAGCTCTTAAAGTCTGCCTGACAAAAGCGCCCCACCCTACCAAAACAGAGCAGGAGCGAATGTGGTACATAGAAGGAATGTAGTACTCATCTCTAGTCCATCGCGATCCACGCTTTCTCCATGATGCGATCAAGAACGTTCAGCTACAAATGGCAAGCCTCTCCTCCCTCACTGCCTTTTACAGTATAGTCCGATAGGCCGAATTATGAAGCAGCGCGCGCGTTTTGATTTGCCCACGTTGGCAGGCGGCAGATGAACATCAATTAGCACATATTCAGTGGCAACGCATTATACTTGGGGAAATTCGAAATTTTTTTCGAATATTCGAATATCGAATATATTCGAAAATTAAAAATTTCGAATATTCGACTTTCGAATAATATTCGAAAATCGAAATTCTCGAATATTCGACTATCGAATATTATTCGAAAATTGAAAATTTCGAATATTCGACTTTCGAATATTATTCGAAAATCGGAAATTTCGAATATTCGACTATCGAATATTATTCGAAAATGGAAATTTCGAATCGAATAATATTCGAATATCGAATATCATTCGTTATTCGAATTTCGAATATAATTCGGTTCTCGAATTTTATTCGATTTTCGAATATCATTCGATTTTCGAGTACTGATCGAGTGATTTACGTCATTCAGAGTGCCTATGAAAGGCCAAAACATCTAAGAATAAATTGTTTCTTGTAAGCGTCAAGAATGGACACTTTCTTATGTTACAATTTACGATGGAAAAACGGTTTAGTCGTGATGTGAAGAGACTTAGGAACCTAAAAGCTACTCCTGTGACGGTTGTGAAGAGATTTTTCGTACTTCAAAAAGATTATATACCCTCAATGAGATTTGCGATTGGATATACAGCGGTTCCAAGAGTATGTAGATCTGTAGGCTGACATCAACTTAGAGTATGTGGCGATTTATCAATCGCTTCTCACTGTTGTAAAATTACCTTAAGATTGAAGAGGGCTTTGAAACATCAAGAGCCATTTCCCCAAGAAAAAGAAACAAAAGGGCCGAAATTCTTGCATTAAACTTTTAAAGACACTCACTTTATGTGGAATTTGCATTCAACCGTAATGCTTTTTCCAAAACTTACGCCAGGTACAGGTACACCGTAACAAGTGTTTTGCAACGCTTTTCAAAAACGTGATTGTCATTTGAAAAGCTTGAAAAGTCGTGCGTAGTAAAATCAGCATACGTGAAAACACTGCTGCACAGATTGAACCTTTTTTGAAGACAATTTTTTTGGATGTCTTATTTTGCAGTTGCTCTATATGCTGGAATTTCCTACCGTGATAACACACAATAAGAAAAGCATGATGATCCGCTTTCTGCTGTGTTTATAAGCTGAAGCCATTCCTACTGGATGTTACCCAGAAATTGGCAAAAGATTTCGAGTGGTATTAGCGATCAAATGGTGTGTAGAAACTTTTGAGACACCCCGTATACGCTATGCATATCGAATTTTCGAATATTCGGTGCTTATCGAATTTTCGAATAGTCAATTCTTATCGAAATTTCGAATATTCGGTGTTCAACGAATATTCGAATAGTTGATGGACATCGAATGATCGAATGAATGACCCTCGAATATTCGACTACCGAATAATATTCGAAAGTTAAAATTTTCGAATATTCGACTTTCGAATAATATTCGAAAATGAAGATTTTCGAATATTCGACTATCGAATATATTCGAAAACTGAAAATTTCGAATATTCGACTTTCGAATTTTATTCGAAATCTCAGTTTTTCGAATATTCGACTTTTCGAATCATTCGCATTCGAATGATTTATTCGAATGATCGAATAATTATTCGATTCGGTCCCAAGTATACAACGCATCCTGTAGTAAGCTGCAAAGCAATTGTCTGGTAATTTCAAAAATCGCATCTGGGTTTTGAACTGGTAACAGCTGAAGAAATCGCATCCTCTTGATCTTTCGAGACATTCAGTGTCGATATTCGATTGTACAGTAGCAACGCGATTCCCAGACTCGCACTACGAAAGAATGCTTGAAATCAAGGAGCCGATCTGTACGCCTTTCAGATCTTATGGATGCTCAAATCTTTATTTCGTTCATTCGAAAGCAGTCAAAATCTAGAGGTAATCTACTGTCCATTACGGTAACTGTCCTCGCAAGACGTCTGATCCTCATGGTACTTGTCGTCGATTCTAGTTCTAAGCTGCCAATGAGGCTGTCATCCTGTCGTTAGGCACCTGCCATAGTTGATTCATTTGATCCGTTAGTTCCACCTGACTGTTCGGTGGGGGAGACGAACTCCGCCAGTTTGGACCGCCTCCGCGGGCGACTGGTCTCGAGACGACATGCAACAATATTTCAGGGACCGGAAAAGGATCGGTTACCCGTTAAAGGCAGTGTCCGGGCAAAAAGTCGATTTTGAAATTTTGTGCTTACCCGGGCCTATTCACTTTGCTGAATCCGAAAATCCACATTGGAAAGCGCGAAAACGGCAAAAAAGGGCTCTAACGCAGGAGGGAAACGGAAGTGGGCCGGGTCCTCCCCACTGTGAATTTTCGCAGTCCCAGCTTCTGGAGCGATCTTCCCGATTCCTCTAGCGCCCTGAGATCACCACCGGCCAGGTGCGAATGCATGACTTGAAATTGGAACCGAGGATCGCTCTAGAAGTTGGGACCGCGAAATTCACGGTGGGGAAGACCCCGCCCACTTCTGATTTCCCTCCTGCGTTAGAGCCCTTTTTCGCCGTTTTCGCGCTTTCCAATGTGGATTTTCGGATTCAGCATAGCGAATAGGCCCAGGTAAGCACAAAATCTCGAAATCGACTTTTTGCCCGGACACTCCTTCAAGGTGGCACCAAAACTGGAGGAGTTCGTTCCCTAACTCGATCCGCCTGATCCACTTTGTGTGCGCCGTTTTGTCGTCTTGGTGTCGCGGATTTGGTCAACTATACAAAAATTTTCTAACTATGCGACAACTGACATACTGACGGCTTTTACACGTCTCTTGCTATTGGCCAAATCAGTGAATTGACCAGTAGCGAAGCGGATGTCCACTTGATCCACTTCATCTCCTTCGCCATTGGCCCTTCACTACTATTGGCCCTTCACCGAGTTGAGCAATAGCGAAGTGATGGAGTGGATCGAGCGGATCAAGTGGATCAAACGTGCGTGTGCCTGTAATTCGCACAAACATTCACACTTCATATCCCGGCGTATTTGCACCAGGAAAGATTGACGGCAAGCATTCATGACGCATTCGATCGCGCTATATTCTATGTTCTCAACGAATTTCAAGACCTTGGGTTGGAGACTAGATTTTGAACCAAAATCAGCTGCGGAAGTACGGGCTGAAGTATAGGTCATTTATAAAATCGTAGCGACGGATTCTACTGCGGTCTTTGCGCAGACAGGAGCATGAAACACTCAAAAAGCATCACCTCAACGCTCAGCTCAGTCACTTCTACAGTTTGGCTACTATCACGTAAATAGAAAAGCCATTGGAGTAGAGATGAAAACCGAGAAACTGCGGTTTCCGGAAAGCGCGTGCGTGTCGCGCGCGATCGCTCCATCGTCACGATTTTTCGAATGTCCTATACAGTGTTAACTCTAACATCTGCTTTTATAAAACTCGTACAGCTTGGACAGTTATACGATATAGCGGACGACAATCGTCTCTATACGCATGTGATAAAGCACTGGTCGATTTACTGTAACAGCTGTTCGAATTCTGCAGCCGAGCAGCCGGTCGATGAGTCGGGCTTTTATGACACGGCATTGCCATAGCAGTCGTCTCCCTCTATTTGTGCTATGCTTAACATAAACTCGAGAACAAAGGTGTGCTTAACATTACAAACCGTTGTTATTGCGATTTCCTCATCAAAGTGTAGTTTCTTGCACATAATTCTGTCAGAGTATTAGATTAGAATTTTAAGACTTTTGAGCTAAAAAAAACATTTTTTGCCTCCTTAAGTAAAGAAATGTCTAAGAAAAATCTGCTTATAAACTAACTTTGGTTTCGTCGGTTGAGTATGGCGCAGTCAAAATTTAATTTTGGAAGTGTGGAGCTTCCGTTATTTTAGCAGCGTTCAGTGTAATCTTACAATGAGAAAAGCTCTCTCTAATAAATTTACCTCATCAAATTTCGCTGTCATAGGATGGCAGATTTTGGGTTTCATAGAGCATGCATCATTTTAAATATATAGGTCTTGTTTTTGTGTGTTACTCGTTCATTTATAGCAATATTGTATGCCAGACTATTCAGATGCGTACAAATCCTGGAGCGAAAACCATAAAATGCAATATTCTGTTTTCAGCAGGCACTCTTTGTGTTATTAGAAGTGACGGGACTTGTGCGGCCTGGGTCCCGCGCGGCCGTCTAGCATGGAATGCAACTTTTTCGCTAGCGTGTCTACTCATCCTCTGCCTAGCAAAGCGCGTTCAACCACTAAAGGAACGGCCATAGGTTGTCGGTGTTGTCGGTGTTGTCGATGTTGTCGGTGTTGTCGGGGTTGTCGGGTCAGAGACAGTTTAGAGAGCGCGCAAAACATGGAGGCTATCATGAGGTCCTACAACGACCAGCAATCTCGGCAACCCCGACAACCCCGACAACACCGACAACTCCGACAACACCGACAACATCGACAACACCGACAACACCGACAACCTATGGCCGTTCCCTGAGGGATCGTTCATACCGCGCACAAAGGCGGACGAAGCCGGACGAAGCCGGACAAAGGCGGACGAAGCCGGACAAAGGCGGACGAAGGCGCGTGTGAGTGTGTGTGTGCTGTCGAGAGAAACGAGACGAGACCGCGCCTTCGTCCGCCTTTGTCCGGCTTTGTCCGCCTTCGTCCGCCTTCGTCCGCCTTTGTCCGGCTTCGTCCGCCTTCGTCCGCTTTGTGCGCGGTATGAACGATCCCTAATTACGCTCGCGAAAGAAATGCAGAGCGCAAGCGACGCGGTCGCGACTTCCGTGTCGCACAAGCCGCCACATTCCTAATGACACAGAGTGTGCTGAAGCTTCCGCCATTGTAGCGTTTGTGTCAGTAAGTGTTTGAGAAGAGTATAGTGTATCTACATAGGATGAGTCTAGGTCCAATGTGCAGTTTAGTTATGAGTGATCAGAAAGTTTGGAATATTTTGTGTTATAAGAAACTCTTGGCGCTTTCATAAAACTTTTGCATCTGCTATGAACCAGTGATAGCTTGTGTTTGTTAGTAGACCTATAAAAATGACTTTTTTGCTTCGTAAACGAAGAGTCCACGTCATTTGTCTTTCTAGACCTCGTTTAGTGTGAAAGGAATTTAGATGAAGAAATTGTCCATTTAAGGCATGATCCGCTTTCTACTAATCAAAGAATGAACTAACGGAGGTGTCCGTAGGAAAAGGAGTAATAGTTGTATACGGATTTCAAATCTTGAACTTTATCGAGTTTAGGGTCTCGAGGCTTGCATACGGGGCAGTGAGGAAGGGACAACGATGGCAAGTGATGATGAGATAGCAGCCTTTCGTGCTAGGAAGGTTGCTCTAATCACTGGAATCTCCGGACAGGTGATTTACAGTTACTGTAAGAGTATTACCAGCTTTTACTTTGGCAGTCAGGATACATTTTACATAAAATAGCTTTTGAAGGATGGTTCCTATCTGGCCGAATTGTTGCTTTCGAAGGGATATGCCGTCCATGGCATCATTCGCAGGTCCTCTTCGTTCAACACCGCTCGAATAGAACATCTCTACAGCAATCCCGTTACGCACAGAGGTCAGTTTGTTCTCCGAATTTTTATGGGTAAAGTCTTGAAAGCTTTACGAATGTTTACTTGTGAGAGTGGATTGTTGTCAAAGATTTTTACTTTATAAGAGGACGTAGTGGAATCAACTTACCATGGGATCTTTTCAGGTGATTCATCGTTTGCATTGCACTATGGTGACATGACCGATTCGTCATGTCTTATCAAACTGATCACAAAAATTCAGCCAACGGAAGTCTATCACCTCGCTGCTCAATCTCATGTCAAGGTACTATACAATCCCTCTAGCGATTTCTTGCTTTATTATTGCTGTTGTTATCATGTGTTCGTTGTGAGTTGATTCGTCACTACTGTAGGTGTCTTTCGACCTGCCGGAATACACCGCTGAAGTTGATGCCGTAGGGACGTTGAGGTTATTAGATGCGATACACGCTTGCGGTCTCACTGAAAAGGTAAAATTTGGTGAATCCGTGTTCGGCAAGACAAAAGGTTTCATTTCTCTAGGTGCGCTTCTACCAAGCCTCTACATCTGAGCTGTTTGGTAAAGTGCAAGAGGTGCCCCAGAGAGAAACCACACCATTCTATCCACGCTCACCTTACGGTCGGCTTCTTCCCTTTCTCATATCTGAGCTTTCGTATGACATGTATTACAGCTGTTGCTAAGATGTATGCCTACTGGATTGTTGTGAATTATCGTGAAGCTTACAACATGTTTGCCTGCAATGGAATACTTTTTAACCATGAGAGTCCTAGGAGAGGTAAGTCTGCATATAAAAGTTTCTGTTCACATTCTTTTTCCAAAGCAGTGTTTAGGAGAAACGTTTGTAACACGTAAAATTACTCGATCTGTTGCAAAAATCAGCCTGGGACAACAAGGTTGCGTCGAACTTGGTAACCTCGATTCACTTCGCGACTGGGGTCATGCTAAGGAATACGTGGAAGTATGTTCAGCGTCGTAATTTTCATAAAATCTGAGCAGGTGATGCGCATTCAATGGCATTGCTCTCTATTTTTGTCTGTTTTAAATTCTTGTTCAAATACAAGTCTCCACGTTCTTATCTAGAGATCATTTCGTCCAATGGGACTGAACAATATCGCTGTATTCGTGCTTGTTGTATACGGTGCCCCACCTTTTTTCTTCACATGGTAGATTTGTGTGCATTTAGGCTATGTGGCGAATTCTCCAGCATGACAAACCTGATGATTTCGTGATTGCAACAGGAAGGCAAACAACTGTTAGAGACTTTTGTAACCTCGCTTTCAAAGAGATAGGAATGGAGCTTGAGTTAGTACTTTGAAGCTTTTTTCCAGTACTGCTGACACAAGTGACTTTCTTTCAGATGGGAAGGTAAAGGTGTCGAAGAGGTAGGAAAGGAGAAAGGTACCGGTACCGTTCGGGTCAAAGTAAACCCCAAGGTTAGTTTTTCTGAGTATCTCCGCCTGAGGCCCTGGCCAGACTTCGCTCAAAATGCCCAAAAGCGCCCAAATTTCTCTGGTGTCTCTTCACTTTCTCGTGTGAGGAGAGATGAGAGAGAGTGAGGAGAGGTTAGAGAAGTTTGGGCGCTTTTGGTCGCTTTTGGGGCTTTTGAGCGCTTTTGGGCGAAGTCTGGCCAGGGCCTGAGAGATTTCCGTCTTACGTTGCAGTACTATCGTCCAACCGAGGTGGAAACTTTGCTCGGTGACCCAACCAAAGCGAAGAAAGAGTTAGGATGGGAGGCAAAGATTACTATAGACGTGAGTGATCTTTATCCGTTTCATGTCTTCTCATCCATACGTTCTAGAAACTTGTCAAAGAAATGGTTGCATCTGACATTGCACTGATGACTGCTAACCCTATGGCGTAATGGGTACTTCCCTTGTTTTTTTAGTAGACTTATTTTTCCACTTGAGTTTTTACTATAGCCTTCATTGTGCAGCTCGGGGTTTGTATGCTTTCACAACATCCTTGCTTACGAATTTCAAGCATTTCACTAACTCAGTCCAAATGTCTGTGATATTATTTATTCGCATGGGATTGATAACATTTCATTTTATTATGTACAAATAAAGCATTTTTACTGCTAGTAATTTTTTCATTTTCTATGGCACATGTGTACAGAACAGAACAATATCGAAGAAAAGGAAAAATAGTCGGTGTGTAGGTTTGCAATGTAATAAGATGCCTATTACAAGGTAGTTGGCCAAACGTAGCCATGCTTCAGCCATTTGCGGTTGAACTCGTCTGTCAGCTGGAAATTTCTCGCCGTGCTACGTGAAGTAGGTGCGTCATCGGTTGCCTTTTAGGTATCACTTTTGTCTATCAGGTTTCCATACTCGCTGCACTTCACACTACTTCATTCTCGATGATGCAGGTGTTAATCTTCGCTTCAAACTAATTTATTCTCAAAGCGGGTTAATCGTCATCATCGTGTACCATGTGTCTTCTATGACTACAGCACAGCGATAATCAATGCTAACAGTGCGTACTGAGTTCTGTTGTGAACTTTTTTGATGCAAGTCTCGATAGCCAAAGTGTGTATTCGAAGAGCAGACGGGAATACCGGAGTGTTGGCCGGATTTGTGATGAATTATCGCACTCTTACTGAAAATCAGTTCCGAATATTCTAGTAAATGAATTCCTTTTGAGCGCACTTTGATACGTGATGCTATCAAATGCATCTGTGGCTCTTTTATACAAAAAGTCCAAGACTGATATAAGATTCTGTTGAGATTCGTGCCTTTCACTTACCTTGATAGTAGTGCTGCATAGGTTGTTTATTCTGAAAAGGTCGACTTTATAAGCTCCTTTCCCATCAAATGATCAGCATATGGTTCTCTAGGGCCATTCACGTAACTTTTCAATTTGGTTCTGAACTATTTTCAGGTCTTATCCTGAAAAGAGCAGGTTCAAAGAACCTGCTTCCAAGGGTTAGCAAAAGTCGCAACCCTACGAGCGTCGAGGGGCGGAACACCGCGGCGGCGGCAGCATTCGCCACAGTACTCCCGCGTGGTCGTGCCTTCCCGTTCGTCAGCCGATCTTTTCAACACTTCATCACCTTTTTCCTTTCCCCATTTTTCACACGAAAGTTTCGTTACATCACTTGAGAGTACCGTTTGTTTTGTATCAAGGTGGTTGCTCTGATTGTTCAACACCTCACAGACGCACAACACGCCTGGGTTTTATTGATTTTCGCCGGCGAATTCCGCATGCTATGCGACGATATCCGCGCTATCCTTAACCTTATCGACATGTTGGTTTCTCATTCGTAAGAAATTCGTTTCATTCCAGCAACACAATCGATCAGGGATAGTCAGAAGTCAATGCCTGTCATGAATTACGCGATTGGAGACATGGTAAGATGTATATGGGGTACAAAACTCGTGGAATACCAAGCAAGGGTGAGTTCTTGTTGCATTCTGACCTATTTTTTAACTGGAAGAAAGAGAAGAGTGGTTAACGAGAAGTGGTTTACTTTCATTTTCTGCTTAGATTGCTTTATTTAGCTTATGAGAAGGATACATTCTTGTACGCGCATTTGGGAACTGCAACTATTCCCCGAAGGAAGCTTTAGACGTTTATTCTCCCTCTGTAGACTCCAAAGAAAACCGAGAAAGTCGTTATCTTGATAATGTTCGTTTGATGTTTTCTATTGCATTCGGCAACGTGCTTGGGAATGGAGGAAATGCAGCCAGTAAATTCTACGATAATACTTGCATCCACAAGCTTTGCGCACCTAATCTGTCGACTTCTGTAGCTAGATCTGCTGAGCTTCAGAAGTTGCTTGAAGTTCAGATATTCTTCCGCTGAGTAAAAAGAGTCATTGGAGAGCAGTGGAAAGATTCCCTCGCTCGCATTCGTCTCTTTTTGTTGACGCTCCTCAAAAAGCTTGGCAAAACTTGACATTTCTAGCGCTGAGCAAAGGTGAAAGTGAAAGTTCATCTAAAGTGAAGCAAAAATTAAAGTGACCGGAAGCAGTGATTATGGCAGGAAGTAAATCTCTGGTGGTCTAGACCGATCAGACGTTTAGATCATGGACGTCAACCGGGTATCGGGTGAATACTATGTGCATTACAAAGGATGGAATAAGCGTTACGATGAATGGGTCACCGAAAAATGTATAATTGGTCCGTGGAAACAAGAGCAGGATATACCGCCTTCAACTAGTGAAGTTCCGAATGTTCGCCACTCCAAGAGAGGTATGCCGTGCGGCTTTCTATGTTAAAAACTCATATGTCATCTGCTTCAAGAGAAGAAGAGAAAGAAGCCCGTCGACTGGTCTCCGTCTCATAACGTCCCTGCGCGAAATGAGCAGAAACCAGTGCGCAAAAAGGTCTGCTTTGATTCACATTGCTTCTCAACTCCAGAATTTCCTTTGTGAAGATTTCCCAGGCCCCTTCGTTGAGATCAAAGCGATCGCCATCAGTCAAGAACAGCAAGCAGGCTTCGGTAATTTCGTCAATTTTAGAGGACACTAGTGACGAAAGGTATCATGTTTTGCTTAAAATCAGTTTTACGATTGATAATTGTTCCAATAAGTGACGAATATCTTATCTTCACAGTATGACTAGCGACGAAGAGGTTGATCCCTCAACACCTCGCTCGTACATTGATCTGATGGCCAGAGCGAAAAAGAGAGCTGAAAGAAAACGTGAAAGAAATGAATCTCCTCAAGCAAATGCATATGGGCTCAACTGGTGCGTTCAGCCATCATAACCCTTCCAACTTATAGCGAAAAAGATTTTTGATCTTACCGATGCCACACTATACTATCCATTTCAATCTTCGGTGAAAAGCAGTGTGAGACTACTCTTTTTTCCAGCAGGCCTTCTCAAATAAAGACGCATTCAAACGGAAGCTGCGCAACAAGTCGTTTCGTAAGTTCCTTTTCTTCCCTCTTTGCAAGAATTTTATCGAATCCACCGTCAACTTGATTACGAAGTCAATTACGAAAGTTAAAGACTGCTGCTATGGTTGCTAACAAACATTCCGATGCGTGCACATCGTTTCCAACCGTGTCCAGTACATGTATGGAATGCCAAAATTTTGCTGAAATAGGTTGGTCTCCATCGTATAGGGCATTCATAAAATTGTGACGACGGAGTCGACTGCGGCCTTTGCGCCCAAAGCGTCACAAGATCATGTTACATCAAAACACCTTAGCGCTAACTCAGTCACTTCAAGTTCTGGGTGCTAACATATACATGCGAAAAAATGCTTAAAGAAGAAGGAAGTGAAGAATATGCGTTTCTTGAAGCGGCATACGCGACGGGTGCGGCCGCCGCCATTGTCACGATTTTATGTGTGACCTATGACTGCTAATGCAGGTTGTGAGCTAGTTTTTCTAGGTACTGACTACAACTACTCGAGCCTTCGCTTTCAGTACAAGGCAAGCCCATCCAGTGAGTAATCTTTTATTGAATATCTCTCATAGCGATGTTGAGTTGTGAATACTTTAGGCACATCACGAAAAGGACAGAGCACTGCAGTTAGTAACTTGAAGCGTATCCTTCCTTCCCGAAAGCCACTGAACTTTCAACGTAAGTGGAAGTGCTAGTAAGGTAGTACTACTCTGTAAAAGTTTTTTTTCTTTTTAGAAAGACTACCTCTACCAAAATTTGTACGTAACTACATACCTCAGCCAAAATCCAAGCTTGGTACTCGTCAACTTGTCGACCAACCTCCAAATCTAGGTGGGGGAACGATACAGCAAAAAAACTTTTTTATGTTAGACTCAAAAAACCTCTGAGCTTTTATGTTCCGTCATTTGTATCGTTCATTCTTTGACCGTACGGACTGCCGACCGCGTGGCGACTGCGACGCGTGCCTTCTAAACTTGCGAAAAAAAGACAGTTGGACCGTGGCTTAAGATGAGAAGAATTCTTTGTTTCTTTTCTACATTATAAAGATGAGAAGAATCCTCTGTTTTCTTTCTATTCATCTTTTCTACGAAAACATCATGCGCGCGCAGCGGTCGCCGCGCGGTCAGCAGTCGTTACGGTCAACGAATAAACGATAAGTATCAGTTTATCGAAAATTTCACATTCCTTTTATATACTCACATTTCTTCTATGGTATTTCATTACATGGCTCAATTAATTTTTAATTCAATCTTGACAGTCTGTCACGTTTATCGCTGTGTGTACCTACTTATGTTTCAGGCTCTCCATACGAATACAATGATGAATATCACTTGGTAAGTTGTTTCTTTTCTGTACTATTAGCACTCTCGTAAACTCGATTAGTGAAATTAGCTACCATTGCAAGGGTTTTCAAAAAATTTTTGTAGGCGGTGAGCTCAGCGAAGATGGATTCTGAGACGATAATCTCAACCTCTTCAGAGTGAGTGTTTTTTCCTATGTTCTCAGAGCTTTCTAAATGAACTTTCTAAGCTTCAGACTGCAGATTACTAAGATTGATCAGAGCTACTTCATTTTTTACCAGTTTAGTGGTGGTACCCAGGATATCTTTGAAACCTAGTTGCATTTCTTGAAGAGTGTCCCAGGTTTGGGCCCATGGGGGCCTGTTGCGCTGTTTGCAAAACCCGTGTTGTGATCCTGCAAGTCTTCTTTCAGTTCCTTTTGCAAATGCGAAATTTTGCGAAGAATTTCACGCTTTCTTTCTTTGGTGGCTAGCGCAAATTGAGTTGAAACTTTGAAAGATCAAAAGTTGATAAAACTCGGCTTTCTGCGGCTTTCTGCAGCCATAGGCAGTAGAACTATCATTTTGAGTCAGGTTAACTAGGAACTCTGAGATATTTTCGTTGAGTAGCTTTCCATTGTGTGAATAGAAGAGATTGAAATTACTGTGATTGAGGAAGTGCGTGTTATGTTGTTGTGTCGACACATATGAGATCTTCTTAATGATGCCCTATCTAGATTTTCGCGTCAAGAAGAAAGTGACAGTAGAACTACTAGTTCATCATCTGATCCCGACGATGCGACATCCAGTCTCGTGTCGCTGATCACCAATGCTGATTCTGCTTCGACAGTGACGATCATGACATAGTTGTATAACTCAGTAAAATCAAGTCTGCGATCGAAGAGCCGGTGTGTCCACGAGGTATTCATTGTTTTGTAATTGAAACAGCGTTTCTGTACAAATTGATTTGGTTAGCATCTTATTGCGTCATATGTACAAGCTTTCATCTCAATCACCTTTTGTACAAAAAATCATCTGCTGCATCTGCCCACTTGAAAATCTCACGACTTTTTTGCTTGTTTCGTTCTACCTTCTCTGTAGGTTCTTAATTCCATCTTCGGTGCGTGCGATACATCTTTTCGTTAGTTTGCTGATTGCTGTCTCCTTATATGTGAACTAGAAACTTGGAAGACAGTGTAGTTGCATGCAGTTTTATTTGCATTCAAATTTGTGTCTTTCTAGGTACGGATGTGTAATACGGTTATCACACCTATGAATTCCTCATATGCAATGTTTTTTTTCTATTTCCAAATGTGAAGTTTCTCTTGTTCTGTATATATATATATATATATATTAAAACTGCATTTGAGAAATATCTCTATAATTTGTTAGATAACCATAGCATATATGTTGTTCTAATAAAATCTAATTGTTGGATTGATACTTTCTGACTGAAAATATTTTCCTGACAGTGTGTCATTTCTAGTTCTCTTGATTTTCTTCTGACTTACTCATATTACCCACTTACCAATCGGCCAAAGTTAAAAGAATGTGGAAGCTGCTAGATATAGTGCTGAGGTACGGTTACTCCGTCGCATGTATGTATACCAGCTAGGTGCATGGTTCTGACTGTGAGTCGTTTCTAGCCTTACTTTTTTTCATCACGGAATCCTATAAACCAAACCCTATACATGTAAAGACAAAAAGAAAAAAGCCTGGAAGCTGCAAAGAGCCGTCGCATAGTAATTCCGTTTTTCGTCTCTGCATGTATGCGCTATTTTGTGAGGGATAAAGTTTTACGAGTCGGGAAACGGAAGCCGCCAGTTCGCCTCCACGGACTATTGGTTCTGGAACGATATGCAACAACTCTGCAAAAGGACCAGCTGGCCACGAAAGGCGGCTCAAAGGGTTCCTTCATATTACGCCGCGGACGCCGCGTACGCCGCTGCAGCGCAATGGAAATATGCTCACGGCAGCAGAGCTCCACTTTTTTTCTGATGTAGGTATCTCTATATTTGCTGCACTTCGTGTCCCTCACTAGTGTTCCTTCACATTATGCATTTCTTCCTCTCTTTTGCTTTATTTATCCTGTCTATCCTTTGTCTATGTCAATGATTGATGGAATGACTTAGGTTGCTGTGCTCCCTCTACTTTTGAGTTTCACATTTTGTATCGTAACTGACTGCACATTGCGTCATCTGGTTGTATATTGGTAGATATGGTTGTATGTTGTATCTGGTTGTATATTTGCGCTGAACATCTCCTTACAAACACATCACTGGATGAAAAGGATTTCTCTTCATAATGTTAGACTGCAATTGCAAATTTGATGCGCCGTTGTTGCCGCAGTTTGTCTTCTTCGCTCACAAAACATCATTCAAGTTTCGGCGCTGACTTCATCTACATCATACAGTCAATGCGGCAAAAATAGACTCGGTGGTTTTACTTTCTCTTGTTTTCTGTATCTGACTAAAGAAAACGCTTCTAATAATGAGCAATTATAGAGATACATCAAAAAAGTGGAGCTCTGCTGCCGTGTGCATATTTCCATGGCGCCGCAGCGGCGTACGCGGCGTGCGCGGCGCCGAGATGCTGCGGCGTACGCTGCGTGTGCGGCGTAGTATGAAGGAACCCAAACTGGCGGCCTTCGTCCCCCTACCCCAAATTTTACCAGTGGTTGCCGCTGCTCCATTAAAAAGCATTGTAGACATACTTGGCCGAGATGTTTATGCGTAGTGTTCCATATGAAATCAATACCAATTCGAAGAGCAATGAGCAAGAGCAATGCTTCCGAATCTATGTTCATAATCTGCGAAGCGCTACTGGATGCAGTTCCTTGAACAATTTGGTGTCCACACTACATTTGCGAGGGTGTTCAGAAGATTTGATGATTTTCGAAAATCATTCCATCCAGTTCACATCTCAGCACTTCCTCAAATAGTTACAACTGAGTTGTAAGAAACAATATAACCTTGAACAGCATCGTGGTAATGCGAATTGCCTTGAAATTCTATGAAACGTGGATGAAAAGCTCTCGTCTTAAAAAAAGCTGTATCTCGAAACAAGCGTATAATCCCAAAACCCGAAATTCTTGAGAGTAATGTGAAATGGAGCATCGCGATTGTGGCTGAAGTTCCTCAGCCTCCATTTGCTGTTCAAATCTGCCGTGATATTTCAGCTATGTACATCAATCAACTCCAGATGTTAACTTTCTCTCAGGAATAAAAGTTGCAGATTTCTGTCATCTCGACAATTCCCCTGATCTATAGATCACCGAATGTTTGTATACAAACATTCGGTTATATGAGCAGCAGAAACCACAAACACTTGGATATCTCCGTAGAATTCGAAGCAGGAACACAGCGCACAGTAAATGTCTCCTACCGTAGACGAATACCTATCGCAATGCTGGAAGATATAAATTTTATTCTTCTCAATATGGCACGCGCCATACTTGATTCGCTTGATCCACTTCATCATTATTGGATTCAGTGAACTAACCGATAGTGAAATGGATGAAGTGGATCAAGAGGACGACCGCTTCGCTACTGGTCAGCTCACTTAATCGACCAATGACGAAGTGGATCAAGCGGATCAAGTATAGCGCGTGCCTATGGGGGAAAAGTATTGATTTTATTCTGAGCTATGTTTACGCTACATCTCTCAATTTTCACAAACCTCTTTCCAACAAATCATAATCGCGGATTGTTATAACGAATACCTAGGTCAATCAAATCAACCTAATCGAGGTTTTTTGCGATTAACACATTGACGGCCGTGTGCATACACGCGTATGCACGCCCGGGCTCCCGTTCAGCACGTTCATGCACCAGTTTTTCGTTTACAAACGAAAACTCTTAAGGTAACTTCTATGCAGTAATCATACTTATGGTTCGATTGTCGTATAGAACACAGGGCATCGCGGAAGCTGTTCGGAAATCTAAACCGCATATATAGATATCTATAGTTATATTAGGTCGGTGCAAAAGTTTTGTCAGTTTTTGCAGTCCATCGGCAAACAAGTTAGAATGAAGATAAACTAACAATTCAGAATGTATCCAATGCAGAATTTCTTCCTCTTTCCATGCCAAACTTTCGTTGTGTTTCGTTGCGAGAGTGACGAGATATTTGCTGGAAATTACAAGCACGCGTTTTTACCATGTCCAACTTTCGTTAATTTTCAAAATTTTTGTATGAGACTTTCGGAGGAATCCTTAAAACCAGCAGATAGGGCAAACCTTTTGCCAACTTATGCAATTTTTGTTCTATTTTTCAGCTGCTTTTCCAGATTTTTGCCAAATAGTTTCCTAAAAGTCTTGTGTTTTGGAAAAATCGCATAATCTTTATTGCACTAAACACTGCAAAACCTACAGAAAACTGAGGTTTCAACACACGATTATTACTATCGCTACCACTATAAAGTAAATGAGCGATTTTCGCTTCAAATTACGAAGATTTCGAAACATAAGTCACGTCAATGCGCACTTCTGAAATTGAGAAATACTGCGATTTTCCCCACAAATTTCGCCTGTCTCGGCAAGAAAAACAAGTGTTAGAAAGAGGAGAAAAGTTTGCATCGAATGGTGACTAAAGTGATTACCATTTTATGTCCTACGAGGTTAAATGGCTGAATGAGGCTGAATGTGAAAATTTGTCACTTCCAAAAAATGAATTATAGAAATTCTGAAAGACAAGCCGTAGAGCTACAAAAAATTGCTTGAGTTGGCAAAAGGTTTGCCCTATCTGCTGGTTACTGAGACTTCTCCGAAAGTCTCATACAAAAATTTTGAAAATTAGCAAAAGTTGGACATGGTAAAAACGCGTGGTTGTAATTTCCAGCAAATATCTTGTCACCTTCGCAACGAAACACAATGGGAGCTTAGCAGCTGGAAAAAGGAAGAAATTCTACATCGGACACATTTTGAAGTGTTTGTTTATCTTCATTCTAGCGTGTTTGCCGATGGATTGAAAAAAAACTGACAAAACTTTTGCACCAACCTAATAGAAACCTCAGCCCATTTTGATTTGGTGCAAAATGGCTCGGTCGTCAACGTATTAATGAAAAAAGTTTTTTTTTAGAAAAGTGAGTGGCAAACCATCGAAGACAGTTATAGATGGGTACAGCTGTCTTTGATGGAACAAAATGACTGAAGACATTGAAGATTGTCAATTTGCGAAATTGTATATTACTATTGGTATGCACTATGTACTGCTGGATCTCTCGATAATGGTACGTTTTCCAACTTCGTAATTGAAATCTTATCGATGAAGGTGTTGAGAAATTTTATGCATGTTTTCCAAAACGTATTCGCCAAGGCTATTTCATTTTTATTGAACTCCTCACCGGATGAAGCGCGCTGGAGTGCGTGTATTATCTTACGATACCGTATCCTCTGCGATGTCATGTGTTGCAATCATTCTATATCTTCTAGTAAAAAAAATTTACATTTTGTTATATCAAAACACGTGGCAAGATCTTGCTCCTAGTACATACAAAAACTTCCAAAAAGTTTTTGGAAATTTGTAAGTGTTGTACTTTATGCTCTTCGTTTATTCTTAGGTCGCAAATGAACTCCTCCATTTAACTCACTAATTAGTGGATTTTCTCATAATCATTAGCATTCTGCATTTGACAGATTCTTTTCGCAGCTGTAACAATAAACCACATTTTTCCACAACGATCAGTCTATCTCGATAAAAGCGTTGCCTTCACGAGATAGTATGTGCGGAAATGGCCATTTTGTCACATCTTTTTCATAATGCTGTGCAAGGTTTTTACTATTGAAGAAGAGAAGAAGGGAAAGAAGGAGGGGTACGGAAATCCCTAGATTTAACCAATTTACAGAGGGTGCTCCTTTTACGACCTTTCCTAAATTCAAAAGCGTCGTCTGAGACATTGCTTTGCAGTCAAAAGATAACAAGCTTAACAATTTTTGATTTTTTTAACCTTTGACTTGAGTTAGCATTGTGAAAATCATGACTGAGGCGTACGTCATCGTACTGCAAAGACATTCTTTCTCACTTTTTGAGGATTTTAGTGTAAACATAAATTCAACACAAACATTCAACACATAGACAACACATATGCTTTTTTTGCCCCTTCTGTGCTCCTAAACTACTTCGCCATCATGGATCTACTACGTTGGACACGCCATAGTTCATCCACTTAATCTGCTTGTTCCATTTGATGCACTTCATCCTGTTGATCTCCGAAAAAGGCTCCTTGAGTAGTCATTTGGTGTCACGTACAGCGTATTTGCGCAACACTACAAAATTTTTTTGCTTACACGACGCCAAATGACAAGGTAGTTACGGCGAGTTTTAAAATGGATCAAGTGGATGAACTATGGCGTGTGCCTTACTTCACCCACCCTAGTAGTACCTTCCGTTCCATAAATAGAACAAAAATTGTTTTCTAAAATACAAATCTGCACAGCTGATTCGAATATACTAGAAAAAAAAATTTTTTAAAATTATTTCCTTGAAAAAGGTGTTTAGATCATGGATCCAAACATTCGGTGTCCTATATATTGGCAAACTTCAGTTTTTTCAAGAGTGCAGTGTTTCTCGAAGGAAGTCGGACTTTTTTAACAGGAAATTTATTTTATTAAGTTTAATTTTATTATTTAGTTTTTTCTACATTCCGACTTCTCTCCACATGAATTTTATGTCTCAGTTCAAGAGTCGTCTAATGAAATGGAATTCCGTTAATTTGGACCTCCACAGGTTCTCAGCATAAATTGCTAACCCCTCATGTTTCTTCAGGTAGAAGCTCCTGCATCCAGCTGCATTGTTTTTTAATTCATTGCATATATAAGGATTCACACGCCGATTTGCATTGTTCTCGTTTCTGCTCATGGCTCGCGAAAAAAGTGCGCTGTGAGGAAAGGGAAGGCTTTTGCTCGTCGGTCGAATAGTCTGATTTGCGAGTTTTTGTACTTGTATTGATCAATACAGGGTGTCCTAAAAGTAAGTACACACTTTTCAATCGTCAATATCTCTCGTCCCAATGGGTCTTTTTTTTGTAAATCAAGTACCATTCTGTAGAGGAGGCTTCAACTTAGATTTACTGTATCGATCGAATCATCGATCGCTTTTCGTTACTGTGGAATTACGGTAAGAACTTTCAACATGTGGAACCATTGTGAAATATGCCATCTGAGGAAGTTTTTTTCAAAAAATCTGAAAAATCATCTATTGGAGTTTTCGCACACGCTGATTCCATTACACAACTTTTTACGAGTGTTTTCAGCTTTTTTGACGGTATAACCACATTTCTGACAAATACTGGGAATTCGGTTATTATGCTTTACCTGGGATAACTTTGAAAGGAGCATCACAGTAAGTTGGAGATTTCATATTCAAAATCAGCGCCTTTCATTAGTGTAAGAGTTTTTGGCTTGTCTGGTCTTGTTCCGAGGCAGAACATGGCTTCCAATGGCCTGAAATCCTTGTCGAAGTTCCTACAGTAATCCTACAGTAGCGAAAAGCGATCGATGATTTGTTTGATATTAAATCTAAGTTGAAGCCTCCTCTACAGAATGGTACTTGAATGATGGAAAAAGACAGAGAAGGGAAGAGAGATATTAACGATTGAAAAGTGTGTACTTACTTTTGGGACACCCTGTGTATTAGGTTGGTGCAAAATTCTGTCGCATCATTTTTGAAAAATCATAACTTCTTGTCCTCTCATCGGATTTGCATAAATTTAGCTTTGCTAAATAGAAACCCCTTTCTTTTTTAAGGTGCCTCTGCCGCTATCTAATGGGGGGTTGCTTTTTGAGAATAAGACAGGAAATTATAAGCAGAGCATTTCAACTTTGGTCATTTTGAGTTACGCTAGTAAAAATCTGATGCTTGCGATGAAATCCCCAGCACGCAGTATAGTAAGTCTTTTGATCGCTCTTTTCTGTGCAAAGTTTTTGTCAAATGAGTATCTCGAAGAGTTATGATTTTTGAGGAGAAAAAGCCAAAAAATCAAATTTGCTGTTTTGTATTGCCTACCCAAAATCATAACTCTTCACAGAGATGCTCGTTTGATACAAATTTTGCACCAATAGGAAGGGTGGATCAAAAGGCTTACTCTACTGCTTGTTGGGAATTTTATCGCAAGTTTCAGATTTCTAGCAGCTTAACTCAAAATAATCAAAGTTGAGGTAATTTTATTCTTCTGCTTCCATCTCATAAGCTATCCCTTATTTAAAAGCAGAAAAGCACTGCCGCAAGGAGAAAGGCTTCCTTTATCTAGTAAAGTTAAGCTTGAGTAAATCCGTTGAGAGCAAGAAGTTATAATCTTCAAACTCATTGATGCCGACGCCTAATTTTGCGTGGCGGCGCTGAGGGACGACGCGATTCTGCACAAACTTTCGGTTTTGTGATTATCTATGAAATGTAAAGTTGTTTCGTAAGCAGCTGCAATCACATTTTTGGACGAAGAAGACTACAGATTTTAAGAGTGCAAAAAAATTGGAAAAAATACTGAACTGTGGAAAAAATACTAGGCTAAGAAAATACACGATTTTGCAAGGGTGTGGGCCACCGGTAGACCACATCGTCTCTGGAGGAAAAAAGTGCGTGGGCCACCTGTGGTACACATCGTCGTCCATGGGTTAAATGGGGCGACAAAACTTGCAGCATCTTAATATTTATGCTCTTATAAAAGAGTAGGCATATATACTCCTCCCGCTTAAAATGAAGTCTCTTCTAGGTATAATTCCATGTTTATTTTTTCCATAAAAACATATATGGCAACCACGTCAACGAAGAATGTATCATACATGCACAAACAAATTTCTTTATCTACACACCGGTGCTCAACAGATACCCGTAAATTTTTGATTACTGTACTTGACTAGTGTTATCTAGTGTGCTATACAATGAAACGATTACAATGTCACAAAAATCGTGTCAGGTACAGTAATATGCTGAGCAAAGGCAGGGATAAAGTGAATATTCGCGCTGTCGAGGTATGTGGTTGTACTTCTACCGTTTGTTCTGTAGATTCGGTTGAATAGAGGGATACTATGGAAAGTCCAGATCCTTCGTCCTGAAAAAGAGCGATTAAGTTTGGACACAAATAACTGTTTTTTTATTTTTTACTCAAGAGTATCATTGCTGAACTTACATAGTCCTCATCATCCGAATCGCCGCTACCCTCTACAACTTGATAATTTGTATAGTTGTAACCGTGCAGAACGTTTTGAAGACGAAATGAAAGCATTCCCAGCCGAAGTCGTTCATCGATGAAAAGTCCTGAAAAAGTTGAAGTGACTCATGGTGAGAGAGAAGAAAGAAGGGGCAAGTTCAGGCTAGTTTTTTTGTACTGATATTGAAATTCTGTAAAATCTCTACCATGTATTCATGAGAGCCAAAAATGATTGTTTTTTATGAGCATTAAAATGTGACTTGTGCCACAATCTGCTTTTTCATCACAATCGTAGAATGATAGATCAGATCAAAAACAAACAAGCAACTGAAATGAACTGTCCCCAATTGTAAGCAAAATATTGGTCCAAGAGGAGAATAGATGTAAAATAATTTGTCTCAAAAAGTGAAGAAAGGCATAAACGTTTCTTCAAAACTGGAGCTCAGAAATGTTGATATTCTCAATAAGTTAGAAGTCTTAGTCTCTTCCTAATAAATCAATTCACAGTTACGTCATCTCTTGCTGTAAAAATCCTGGCCTGCAGATACTTGAAACCAAAAAATGCCACTTAAATTTCTATGCTAATACAATGTCATCAAGTTGATGCTAATGATTGCAAATTGTTTTTTTTTTATTTTCGCAGATACCGAAAGTTCATAATCGAAAACATTTTTGAATTTGTAGTGAAGTATGACTATAGTATATAGCAGCAGCAGACCAAGAATCCCTCTCTCTATAGTAAGATAGTCATAAAAGGGAATTTTTCATTTGTAAGCGATTGAATTATTTTTTCAGAATGTTTCAAAACTCAAATTTGTGGAATATCGTTAGGGAGTGTGGCAGATACGCCTCTTTTACTAAAAAATTTCAGGGTATTCTTGGGAAAAATTTGGAAACTATCCCAAAGTTCCTCGGAGTGCCACGTCCATTCATTGAAAAAAATATTGCCCCCCCCCCTCTCGGAAGATTTCTCGGGGCCCCCAATGGTGTGAGGATTTGCTGTTCCTTCATACTAAGCTTCTCATGATTTCCGGTTACCTCCATATACACGAATATTTTTTGACCTCCTTTGGGGTGAAACTCTGAGGTTTGCTCACCTCGGTATGGCAGAAATCGGTCCGCCTGGTATTCTGGATTCGTGCTTTGTTTAGCTAGTCCATCCCCAGCTATTTCCTTTGTATATGGTGCTGTTTCATTCCCATTCCAGCAGCTCTCCCCCTCCTTCGCCACTAATCCAGAATCGGTACAGAATGTCGTTGGCAACGCAGAAAACCATCCCCGTAGCGGTTCGAACTGAAACACTAATACTCTCTTCGTTTTTGAGAATTCTCGACATTCTTGGCGACTTGGCAATTTTCTAAGCGGCTTAGAGGAGGAGCAATTTTCACCTCGAGGTGTCATAATACCTTCATAATACTCTTATCATTTGTGCTAATAAACAGACCACGCCATTATCAGCAAAAGCGACTTACACGCTCAGAAAACGTCGACATCAATGAGTTTAGCACTTTTCCATAGTTATCTGTCCTATCAGTCAAAGAGCGATGCCTAACATGACGACGTGGACGAGTTGATCGTTGATGACGAGAAGATCGCATCAGCTCTTCTATCGGGTAACAGCGAGCAAGCACCTATAAAATGAATTATCAAAAGATATTTTGAAAGGTCCTCAAAGGCAGATATTGACTAGTTGTTGGGATCATAAATCTCCCCAGCGGCTCCGTCTTTTGTTTAGTGTAACATGTCGACCTGGGCTTTATTATTGCGACTGTACGGCTAATTGCTGGTCTTCTCGTTGTGTTCGTAAGGGTCATAGGTGGATGGTAATCATTTCGACTACGCATCAGTCTACTATTAATTATGACTGATCGAATAATTAGTTGATCGAATAGGTGCGGAAGATCGATGGGAATATCGTGTATAGGTAGACTGAGCAGAAAACTCATCGTTGAAAAAGCTCTAGTAATTACAAAAATTAGAATCTTTATTAGTACGCGCTTCATATGACTTATTGTTCTCTCAAGCATTTCTTAAAGCTTTGGACTGAGTCTAATTTCATTTTGACTGTGCCAAATATAAAAACTCAATGAAAACAATGGTATGGAGGTTGAAATGCTAATTTTGCATGTTGAGAAATTTTTTTCCTTTTCTAAAAGGGTAAAAAATTTGCTAGATTTTTTCAATGCGCTGAACCTTTTACCAAGCACTACAATAACCTTCACTTATGCAAGTTAAGTTATAGTCATGTAGTTTTTATCAGCATTTGTGCATTTACACAATGGCTTGACTACCATATTGACTATTAAATTCTTTTTGCCCTCTCCTCCTCTTTCAAAAGAATTATTTTGTAATTGCAAGCGAAGAAAAACTGTTTAAGTCATAGCTACTTGAGGTAAGAGGATCTTTAGAGTGCAGTCGCACAGATTATCACATAAAATCCTTTTTAGCGAAAAAAAAAACCGAAAGATGCCTACTTCACAAAATGAGCTGTAAAAAAAATCAAAATTCAAGCAGCTAGGGTGTGGTGGTACCATAGATCTTGCCTACTGTACGAATTTGAAGTCCGCTACTGCTGTTCGGTATTTTTATAGCCTTTTAAAAGACTGTGCCCTATTATGGGCAATCCGAATCCTTTAAAAGACCCCATTTGGGTATCAATCGTCAAGCATTAACGCATTTCTTGATTGATATGCAAATTTGTTTGTTGGGGTCCTTGACCCGAGACGGCATTTTACGACTTGCACACAGCTCACAAACAGCGGCACACATTGCGCATGTTGTGTGCATGTCGTCCGTTAGAGGCATTACAATCGAGAACAATGCTCAAAGCATGAGCATCAATCATAAATGGGCTACTGCTCTGATCGTGCAAAACAAATAGCGCAAACAAGGACAAATGGAGATTTCCGGCATTAGTTACGCATTTGATACATATTGATTGCATGAACAATATTGCATAAAGCTGGGTTAGGGATGCATGTATTAGCGCAACATTCAAGTAACCTACGTGAAATACTACGAAAATACGCAAAATGACCAGTTTTTACTTTACATAATGTTTTTGAGATCTTTTAATATTCAAATTAGCTACATAAAAATTTTTTTCCTTGAAGTATTCGAAATTTTGGGATCATAGGCTCACGAAAATCTTTGAAAGCGTCTCAAAAACTTTTTTTGATGATCTCGGCGTTCCAAAAACTTGTCAGTCCCCTCACCAGAGAAAATTTTTAGGCCCATCGCTGCTCAAAGATAGACTGCTAAACGACTACACTCGTTTATAATGTAAATTTGAAACAGTTTCTGATAAAGTAATTTTTTTAGTAATTTTTCGAGAAAGTTTAGTGACTTTTTGACGGTTTCATTGAACAAAAATTATAAGAAAAAACAAAAACTAAACTAAGTCCCAATCACAGTTTGTAAGACTGCGCAGTAAGTGAGTTTTTAGTGGTGATTTAAGAATAATTCAGTAATTTCTTGACTGATTTTTTACTTAATAAACAAAAGAGAGTTTCTTAGTAATTGCAGATCAACACTTGCCCCTTCTACTTCGACTATGGCAACCAGGATGTGATGTGCGATCGCAGATTTTTTCAATATAGCTATCCGACTATAAAATAGCCTTGGCCTTACCTTATTTGATACAGTAACTCCTCGTTCTTGCATTTCCATCACTGCCTCACTGATTTGGACCGGTAGAGGCTGCAAAGAGTTGTGTAGATTTTGTGAGCTTCGTATCCGTGTGGAAAGTTTCAGCAGAGAATCTGAAAATGATTTGGGAATATTTACGGTAAAGTACCTGACAAATTGCCACCTGTAACAGTAGTAAGTATTGGAAACACGAAACACAACATTTTTTTCAATGCAGAAAATGCAATTTTGTATTGTAAAAATTTACTGTGTAAGGTCTTGTAGTTTTTTTAAAATTGCACTGGGCATTTCGACCCCTTCTCTCTCTCTCTCTCTCCCCCCCCCTCCAGTAGCGTCACCTGCCTACCAAAATACCCATAGACTCGATGGTACCCCCTGTGGTGAGATGAGCTAATCCGCGGCCAGCATGACCATACCCCTGCATGCTGACAATATTTGTGAAACTTCTCAGTTACGTATAAAGTTGACCCCACATGTCAAAAGAATCTGACAGCTTGACAAATACCTTCGGAATGCATGAAAAGAAAGGCTGGTGTGACTCAGGAATGTGTTAGTTATAATTCTGCTCTGGGTGGTTGGTTTTTTGAGCTAAGCTGTAATAGGAAATTATGAGGTAAGGAAGAGAAAACAGCGCATGAGCTTGTTTCTATGGGCTTCGAAAGCGCATGACCCGGTTTCGGAAAGCGAATATGCGCACCATTGAATTTCGGCAGAGAAAAAGCCGTTGGGTGAGAGTGGAGCGGTAAAGTTCAAATAGACTGATGCACAAAGCCCTAGCCGACACGCTTTCGCCCCTACATAAGTGGGACTTATGATTGTAATGAGAACTTTACACACAACAGGATTGGCCTAGACGTGAACTTTGCCTTTTTACTGGTAATGGATAGAATGGATAGCAAGAAGCAGATCTATAGAGGCGGAGGCGTTTTTGTGCGACTCACCGATGACAATGTTCCATTGTTGATCCATTTCGGCCCAATCGCCAAGGCATCCTTTCATGACATTCAGGCAAAGGCCAGGACATGCTTTCGATTCGTTGCCGCCTGTACAGAGTGAGCAGTCCCACATTCGAGCCAGGTTTATGTTGCATTCCTTGGATGTGGAAATCTGAAAAACTCAATGCTGTAGATCATTCATTTTAAAATATTTTTGCTTTCGGAAAAAAGAGAGAACTGGAAAACAGGAAGGAAAAAGATGAAAATGAAAACGTAAGAATCAATTTTCTGATCTGAAGCTTTTGCTAGGAAAATAATAAAAATATTTACAATCGGAAAGTACCTCTAATCAAATGACACTAAAATGGAAAAGGAATTCTGGAGGACTTCTTTAAAGAGTAATGAGCACCATGTTTCCGGGTAAATGAAAGAGATTATTCAACTTGAATTCTCAAAATAATTTACTATGCTGAAATGTGCTGTCTTCACAGTTATCCTTATCATTTAATGCACTTTGCTATGCCAGAAAAAGAAAGTTGAGATATAATATTCCAGCAAAGGCAAAATATTGTTTATCAGATCCTAAGACGAAAATAACTGGGTTCAGATGTACACATTCAGGATTTTTTCAAATCCCACGATTTTTGTGAAAATTTGCTTGCGACCATTTTTGCTCTTATATTTTGTTTTTCCGAAGGCATGCTGTTCACATAGTTACCATGGAACTCGACTTTTTCTCACGAAGGCAGTGAAAAGACATCGAAATAATTAGAAAACTAATCTTAGAAGCGGGTGTTCATAAGGATTAGAACCTAAGTTTAGAAGCAAAAGTGGAAGGGCAATTAAATAAGCCTGATGATGATACTGAGATAGTTTCCTTTTTTAGATAAGCAAGACGATGAAAGAGAAATTATTAAGCAAGAATTACAGAAAAATTTCAAGATCTCAGATCAGTTTCCATATTTCAGCATATTCTCTGTGCCCAAATCTAAGTCTCGATCAGCCATGATCTGGACAAGAGGACCCTACCATTTTTTGAATTTTGATTTAACACATTTTTTGCATTTTTTAATGCTTCTCTGAGTATGTAAATTTATGTTCCACAAACGACTCCAACCGAAAAATTTCTTTTACCAACCACGGCCCCTTTCCCAAGCTATTCCCTCATATCATGACCGATTCCGTCGCTTACCCAGGTTGCGTCGGCATGATATGTGACGACAAAGTGAGATAAATAACGCAAATTGCGCAACTCAGCTCAAACAGTCGACTACGACCATCAATACGATCAATAATCCATCTGCAATCAATCAATAACTCCCATATGCTCATCTATCTCAGGCCATATCGTCGCGGCTTCACCTGCACGAGCGATTACGGTAATGAGGCGAGTAATCCGGGTTTAAGTTTCTCTAATTAACTATCTCATGCCGACAACAGGTGGCTGCGGGGTTTGAGATGGGTGGAGCAGGGGGGGGGAAGGGGGTAAAATTAGGTTTAAAGAAGTGCAAAACAAATGAGGAATTTTGCCATGGTGCTCACCAGATCAGCGTAAACATAAAACGGTAGCCGTAATTGGTACTCAAGCACCTACCCTCCCCCTTCCCCTGGCGGTATAATCACTTCCCGCCCGGAACCCCTGCAGTTTGATGGGCTTTCCGAAACTCGTAATTAGAAGTAGACCGCTAAGGGCCACAACATGTTACCCTTAACCGGCTACTCCTGTCTACCCATTCGCTACCCAAACGAGCGAATTTTTCGGCATGACTCACAGATCGATGACTATGTCTGCTGCACAACATTTGGATGATATTTACTCTCCCTACATAGTTCGGATTTGAATGTCATTAGGCGTGTGCTACAGTATATGGTTAATGTCTTTTGGATTCCTTTTACGGGCTTCCGGATGTGAAACTGCTCTTTTGTCTTCGGTCCCCAGTTGCGACTTTCTGGCACCTGTTTAATGAGGTGCGCATCATCAGGTTTAGGTCAGTACTATTCAAAAATTCGCTGTTTACCCAGGTGCATGTATTTTGCGGCCACCCATTGCTTAGTTATCCAATCGAGGTCCTCTGGTCACATATTAAGGGATAGGGGATCAAAGTCTTACCTTATGCATTGAGTTACCGCAAAATTTGTAAAACTAGTACATAAGTAAATTTTGAAAAATTAGTGGATGGTGAGGAAGTTAATAGATAGATGAATAAATGAAGAGCGAAGGAGTGACTAAATAAAGGAACACGAACGAACGAAGGAACTGAGTAGATAAGGTCAGAGCTGAGATGGCAAAGTAAAAACCCGACTGGAGCTAAATTTTGAGAAAATCGGGAGAAGTCTAATATTTATTTCCAAAAAGGTTGCTTCAGTTTTCTTACTTTTGATAATTTTTTTTGTTTTTAGTGAAACTTGGAACTTATATGTATAGTGCGCACGGCACAAGAAAACAATTTAGAAAACTTCTAAAAATGTTACTGATAATTTTTCCAAAATAATTCTGCTGTAAAAATTTCCACAAAGAAGAATTTGCTTTGGTTAGACAACCAACTTACATTCATGAATCCTTCCAGCACATTGTAAACATTATCCAGACCAAAAACAAAATGTTTCCACAGAACCAATGGCTTTTCCAAGTGCATGGCAAGCTGAAACAATTTTTTCAAACTTATGAGGAAGAATCAATTTTTTGAAGCGAACCTTTTCTGGAACATCGCCAAATGGTGCAATTTCCGCCATACCATCCAGCATACAACGTCGTTGAGTAGACGTCACACTGTGCTGAAATCACTTGTTTGGTGAGAAAATTTGGAAAACCGGAAATAGAGAAAAACTTGCTTACCATAGGATTCATTAGTTGAAACATAATGACGAACATATCTTCAAATAATTGGCTGGTAATTTGTGGAACTTTCGCTTCGGAAAACGGTGAGGAAAATGCTCGAAGACGATTGAAAAATGTCTCGAAAACCTGAAAATTGCAGAAATTCGATCGATAATCGATTTTTCTCATATTAAAGGATAGCCAGTGGCAAATGGCTAGCTCATCAACTACCTGGGAATTGCTTTGATAGAATGGACCGTAAGTGCGCCCGAATAGTGCATCCAATTGCTCATGGCATGCATTAAGTGAATTGTAGAAGTACGCTGAAAGAAGATTCTCGATTGCAATCGATTATCGATTGATTGCCGTAAGCAACTCACTTCGAAAGCTATTCAAATGAGAATTGATCATGTGGCGAAGGACTAGAATTTTGTCCTCCAGCTGCGCTTTGAAGATTTTCTGCGTATTTTGGACAATTTCCTCCTCGATGCTTTTCGTACAGCATGCATTCTTGCCCGTGCAGATTTTTAAGTCTGTTGCTGAAAAAGAAAGAAGTTATGGAGTACATACCTCAATACTAAAGAAACATTAGATTTTCAAGAAATTTCTGACAAGCGAAATCAAAAACTCTGAGTCCATATTTTTTCAAATGATTTGCAATTTTTGTTACATAATTTTATCCATGCACCTATCACTATCAATAGAGAAGATCTCTAAAAGTAAGCTCACAACAATTAGATCATTTTTGAAAGGCACATCAATTTATTCCTTGATTATATCTTCAGTTTATTCCTCGAATGTGTTGTTGAAACAAAGAAGAAGATGAATCAATTTTCATTCCCATGGCACTCATACGCCCATTCAATAAGCAAGAACAAAGCAAGTGGGAAAACTTCAAAAGTACAAAGATGAGCGACAAAATCCGTAAACAAATTACCAATTCAAAAGTGAAAACTGGCTAAATGCGGATGGAGTCTGGTTGATTTATATACAGCCCATTTTTTGTATATTTTCAGAGGAGGCAAAATACTGAATTCTACGTTTGCTGATACATCAGCATCAATGGTTATTGAGTTAACAATATCGAAGAAGCAATGTAGTTTTTTAGAATTCAAGCATTGAATTGGATCTTGAGACCTCACTCTCATCTATAAAAATCCACCTTGTTTTCTTAACCCCCTCATATGGACTATGAGACTAAAAACTTTGAAATCCAAACAAGGACTCAAGGTAATCTTTGCTGTACCACTATGATCATCTGGAATAATTGGCTCATGGATGACCTCGTAATAAAACAACAGGGTTCAAATAAAAATAATTATTAGGAAAAGAAACAGTGTGAAAAAAATTCAGAAAGCGTGAAAAACGGGGAAGTATTTTGACCATATTTGCAATTCCTGCGAGAAAAAAAGACATAAACCACGCTTGAGTAAAGTTTTCAATGCTTTTCTACCAAGGAAAAACCTAGAGTGAGAAAATTTCCCGTGCATATGTTGTCAAATCCCAAGTGCGTGAAATTATTCCATCATGTTATATGTGGTTTTTGCTAGCATGACACTAATGTAATTCATGAGATCTAATTGCAGGTTCGAAGGCAAAGCACGTGCCGCCGTGGACGAGGGGGTTTTTTGTGACGCATGTGGGAGACGACGAAGCCGTGTACGATTCAGACTCTTATTGAACAAGGGTTTAAGAAGGAAATATGGAGATAAAAGATGAAAAGTAGGAAGGATGAGAAGTATTCTTGAGCAAAAATATGGAAAAAACATTCTTACCAGCGCCTTTCTTGAGCAGAGTTGTGTAGTCATAGTGAGACTTCTTTAACATCTCACATGAAGTAGCCAGTGAATAAAATGGAAGCGTAAATAACACTAAATACGGTAACGGCCCCATCAGTCAGCGTAGACAGTGCCAAGACCCGTGCTTACTATCTTCCACCTCGGTTGCGATGGCGTAAGCCAGGGCGGAGTCGTTGTCGGGGCGTGGCCGGGGCACTGGCACTGTGCGAGGACACACGGTCCCGACCCCGGGGCTCAATGGTCCCAACGGCTATTGTCGTCCACAGCGCGACTGCACTGACACCCGAAACACGACAGATGACGTGGTGATAACTGTTGTAGATAAGGTCAATGGATATGGATGAGCTATCATGGATATGGATGATTAGGGGGAGGGATGGGAAGGTAAGGATGGGTTCTCAGTCTAATCCGATAAGCTGACCCAAACATAAAAATCGCGGGTCACGCTGCTGTAACTTCCCCATCTAGAGAGGTTATTTTGTACACTGATAAATTCACATTTATTTCAAACAAGAAGGCTGTCTGGTTACGGTAGGATTATGGTACGGGGTCCGAGTTTATCACATTTCTGATTCATGATAGCAATGACATTCAGTTTTCAGTAAATAAAGTGGATAGGGGTCTCAGAGTTACTTTTGATTATGCTAGTGTTGCATATTTATGCATAGTGATGTTAAACCGGGGGGGGGGGGGGGGTTTACGTGAGTATAGACCACGGAAGCAGTAACTGTGAAAGACACTTGTATTTTCCGATTTTTTGTGCATTTTTTGACGCTACATTTTTGGCAAAACTCCAATAGATTGTACAGGTTTGCCCATAAAAAAATTTATTTTGCCTAAATATTATTTTTGACTGCCATACAACTATTAACGGAATGCTATCTACAATTTCTTGTCGCTACTGGCAATAAGCCATGGTTATTCCTTTATGTATCATGACAGCTCGGGCTAGATTAACGTATAATCTCCTATATTTTTAGATAGTCATAGACTGGATTGCCATTTGTTAATATACAAATTTGCGGACATTCTGGAAAAGCTGGAATTAGCGCGCCAAACGACAATCTTCCTCAAAGTTCTCCTCAAAAAGCAAATTCAACATTCGCAACTGGTTTCTAGTGACCATCGCTTGCAATGTTTCAGTCTAATGGATATCTGTGACAAATAGCTTTCCTTAACGTTTCAGGATATTTACATCAAAACTTGTAAAAATACAATATTGAGCATGTTTAAACTCGGAAAAATGAAAAAATTTCTTATTTTACAATCAGACTCACCTCACAAAATAGCCTTCTAATCATATAAAATGAGTTAACCATCTTGCCATGTCTTACAGTTATCAAATTATATTGAAATTATTGAAGCCCATTGAAGTCGTCGCGTAAAACCTCCATTTCCATAGCTGCTAGACATTCCATGCTAATATTCACAAAAACTTGCAAATTCTTTGCTTGAGAGATTCCTTATTTTTTGGAGCTTGCAGAATGCGATAACCGTGGGAATATGCTAATTTTATATCCAACAAACTTCATTCGAAAAATCCTTTTCACTTTATTCCAACAGACAGTTATAGCCATTAGTCTGTCCACGAGTTAACACTGAATATGACTGTCACCACTCAATCAAACAAAAGTACAAGATCTTGATCTCCTGAACAAGAATAGTATCACTACCGAACTTCGGATTAATACTGAACTTCCTCAAGCAAATTTGGACTCCTGGTACGTTCATAGGTCGAAAACCGGTTACATCCCCAAATGCTTGTCAAGTGAATTGTTTGCCATTGAAGCGTTCGTATAACTATTATCGAAGAAAAACAGATGCGTGGTGCAAGCCAGACCAAAGGTGGTAGAAACCGACTTCCTAAAGAGACAATCAAACGTTGGGGAATATCCTGATTGGTCATGGTCCTGGGAAGAACCAAACAAGTGTGTTTGACAGTTTGTTAAAAGTGTCGGATCCTCTTTACTATCAGATAAGTACGTTCTAGGAGGTTTGGAGGTTGGGAAGAATAGTTGAGGGAGTAGAATCTTGGGCCCAGAGCATACTTCGGAAATTTCTACGATTTTTTCAAGTTTTTGAACTTTTTCTTGTTATCATGATAAATACTTGATGACTTAGTTATCATTACAAGTTTTGGCTAAGAATATAATGCGCCGAAAAATTACCTCAGATCAGTAAATAAAAATTTGTTTGAACTGATTTGTATGTTATTAGTAGATATCGACAATTTTTTTGCTGGTATTTTCTTCTCTCCTCCTTTCTCCTCTGTTGGTTGATTTGCTGGTTTCTCTTATTTTTCGCGGTCATATTTGGACTGAGAAATATTCTAACCTTTTCTCAACGTTTTTCAATTCATCTTAAAGAGGTCTTTAGTTGTAATATGGTTTTGGCAAGATACCAACTCTTTCAAATGTAGTAATTCGGATTTGGAATGCATCCTCTACAGCTCTGAGAATCTGATATCCACACCTTTTCATCCCATATTTTACTTCAAATTCTCAACACTTCTTAACTATTCATTATATTTTTTCACATTCCTTCTCATATCAAGAATAATAATCTCAAAGTTCGAGGTTATATTTGCACGGCTTTCACGGCAGTGTTCTCTAGCTACGGACACCCTACTGAGAACCGGTAAAACAAACAATTCAATGACACTTTCTGCGCAGGGATATGGTGAGAAATCCACAACTAAGCCACATCTCTCAGATTTTCAACCCAAAATATGAAATAAGCGCAGCACTAATTGGGAAGGAAATCGCTCTCGATGACCTTTAATCGGCTCATTATCACCTCGGTGCTACGCTCTTCGACAAAGACATCGCCGCTCTTCGTGTTTGAAGTGCTCGTCAAGGGTGACTATAACAAATTGACGAGCATGGGAAGAGCCTAGTAAGCGACGCATTGTGCCTTCACCACCGGGGAATTGCACCAAAGGTGTTGTGTTGGTGACAGTCTTGGTGCATTGAGTGGAGGAGGGAAATGAAGTGCGAGTATGGGAACGAAGCGGAATCCTGAGGAAACTAGGAATCTGTTGGGTTTTGTGGCACGTGCCATTCAAAATCATCTTCGTGCTCATAGCCTGGGGAGCTAAACTCTTCTAAGTGGAGAAGACTGGAAACCTTCCTCACATGGGAAGATTGGAGTGCCTCAAGGGCCCATGGAAGCAGCCAGGTGGCGGTATAGAATCATTATATCTTCATAACCGTGAATCAGAAAAGGGAGTACCTGTAGTGAAAAGTTGATTATTGATTGGAAGAAGTAAGATTCTTCTCACATGGAAACGATGACGGTAGCCTACGGTCTACGAAATCTGAATATCATATAGAAAAACCACATCTTCATAATCCTGACCTGGAACTTATTGTTAGTGCTATTTTGCATTAAGAAACCGATTATTGATTGGGTATTATCTGAATTATTGGCATTTGAATCAATTCCCATACTAAGACGAATCAGCCGAGGATTCTAAGAACAAAATAATTTATAACTGAATTCTTACAAAGGTAAACATATTGGTGACAATGCTAGTCGGATGCATAATATTATAATCTGGGAATGTGGCGACAGTTGTTTTATTGTCTACGTACATTGATTCAGTAAGAGAAATAATATTATGTTCAAATTTGAAATCTAGAAAAGATCTCATTATCTGCCAAACGCTCAAGGAAATATTTTTTCACGGAAGTCTACTGGCACACCTTCGAGACTATAGTGAAGCATCGTTTATTTCTAATGGAAAATCAATAATCGATTTTCTTGGTTAATCTTTTCACAATGCCAGTTCCTAGCATAGTCCCACCATTCATATAGTTTATGGACTATGAATGTGACCTTTAGAAAGTCTACTCCGCACTTGGTGCAGGCTTGCACCGGCGATTCGTCATAGTACGCTAGCCTTTCGGTAGACATTCATCAGAGTTTTGGCTGAGGAAACTGTATGAAGCGAAAATGTCAAAGCCTATGGTCACACCCTATGGTTAATTTTACCTCTTGATTTTTTCTCAAATTTTGATGACTTTTCAAACAATTACAAACTATCCACTCCATATTTAACACCTGCCTCCCGTTGCTAATTCCCTAGAAGTAGTATTATCCAGGTGGTCGCAATATCCTACAGTGTCTTACAGAACCCTTTTACGGTAATTTGATGATTTATAGATAGGTGTGACATTGTAACCCACTGTGATGTCTCAATAGCCTGATCTTGTATGCACTGTAGGCTACAATTATTGGCATTAGTAGATTTATGAAGCGAAGAGACGGATGTGCTCAATCCGGGGGTTGGCAATCTAGATGGATTAGCTCATTATTTTTTATGTGTTTAGTCATACAATCCCGAGCTTCTAGTTGTTGCCTAAAATTCTCAAAAAATACAGAGTTGTTTCGGATTAGGTGTCATATAAAATGAATTTAAAAGAGATCAGATGCTTGATTGTGTTTCGAAGATCAAAAATTCGGAATAGTTCCATTATTAATCTGTGGTAAGAAAAAAGCTTTTTTTTTGTGGGGTCAGAGCAGCTAATTACCGTCAGCAAAATTACCACATCAAACATAATTTTTGGGTTACGTTATTTAGAGCGAAACTTCATGACTTAGGAGAAAATATGTAAACACTCGACTGAAGGAAGTAAAGGAAATGAAGAATGTGCAAAAAGTTGTTGTTTTGTTCCAAAAATCATAAAAATTATCGCGAAAAACGAAAAAAACTTTTCCACCAGACTTCTTGAATTTACAAGATGTAGGGGGTTTGAGAAATTATCTCCAAAGTCAGCTTTTTTGAAAATCGTTATCTGGTTGCTTTGATAGATTTGCTGTGTCCACAGGTTCTCCTCAGAATGTGAAAGAAAATCGTATGAAAATGCTGCATCAAAATACCCATGACAAAATTTCTGAAAAGGAAATTGATTTTTTGAAGGGCAATTTTTTGAAATTTTCTGAAGCAGAGATCCTTCGTTTTTGTAATTAGGCTACTTAACGACGTGAATGATTTTCTTTAAAAACAAAACAGTATACTTCCTGATTTTCTTTTGTTTTTTTTTTATCTGTTCGCACCGGGTTCGCATGATAGCTATAACCTTGACAAAGTTAGATTAGAAAATACTTTTTGTTTGATTATGCATCTGATCCAGAACGAGTTGAACAGTTCCAGAAATGCTAATCTTATTGGGTTAGTCATGCATGACCTGATCTGCTGTTCGTTTAAGCCGACAAAGGCGGTACGTTTCTCACATCATGCGTCTTACGATAAAGGAGTCGCACTCACAAATAATGTTTATGATCTTGATTCTAGTATATTTTGACAGATGTCGCACTTCCAGCAACACAGATAAGAAAGCAGATATGTCAGATGAGATGAACTTATCGGGTAGATGCACCAGAAGGGAGAGGCGGTAGAAGAACTAAGGAACAAATTCTGTATTTTGTAAATTCATCTCTATTTCAGGCAAAACTATAGTAGGCGCAGCTGCCTACTCTCTTAAGGATAGAATAAATCAAAAATAAATAAAAATAAATTAAAATTGCCAGTGAAAGAGAAGTAAATGAAGGATTCATTCGCTTGTGCAGCAGAGGTAGAGTAAAATATAGTTCCTAATTGCAAAAGGATTTTCCTACCATTTTGTTGATCAAACAAATTCCCATATCTATTTGATTTTATTTCTACTACTACAAATTACGCAAAAAAATCTAGTGAAGCTAAAGTTAGCTAGTTTTGATTTTATTTTCATTCCCATTTTGAAGAAACTACATCTTTGAGTGCAGCCTTTGCCTTTCTAAATATAAACTGAGTAAAAATTCCTCACGTGAAACACAAAACGTAACAAATTCGATCTGAAGTTAATTTGGTTGCGGTCTATAGAACTTGAATAAAATTCTTCTTTCTAAATATAAACTGAGTCTTCTTGATTGGATAAAAATTCCGAATTTATGAACCACGATCACGTAACAAATTCCCGTTTGAAGTAGTCGGATTGGGTTTTATTGGATTTGAAAAAAATCATGCTAAGCATAGGGAAGCAAAAGGGAAACCATTATTGCCCCTAGTAAAAAAACTATTCTTCTTGAGACCAAAACTCTTTGCTAATCTTGAGTGATGCACATCCGACAAGTACACTTCTAGAACACCAACCGTTCGTCCAGTGCCATTGTTTGTGCCATAGCCTTTTTGGGGCTATGTCAAGTGCTAGGTGCTCCTTTAGCTATGCGCTCGATCTATAATCTTTACGGGATAAAATGTTACCCAAGATGGAGATTTGGGGGGGGGGGAAGGGGAAGAAGAATGGTACTTGTAAGAAGCGAAGTCCTGCAAAATACCCAGAAATCACCAATTTGTAAGCCAGTCAACAATCCGAGCTACAGTACCCAACCTCAGCCTGTCGGCGACAGCCGGGTGCGGTTTATTTTCACTCCCATAAATCTGTCTACCCAAATCAATCGTCTTCGGATTTGTCCGATCCCACCGGTGGTAAATCTTCTGCCCAACCAACGTCTGCAATATTTGCGGTATGGATTAATAACGTTATTCGGGGTTTTCTCGGGGGTCGAGTGCTCGGTAACCCGATAGGGGCGGTGGCGGAACTCATTGGTAATGCTGAGATGAAAAGGACTCAAGCTTTGGTATTAGTGGAGGGGAGGGGGGGGGGGAGGAGGAGAGGGGGTAGAAGTAAGTTCGGAGTTTTTTTTTATTCACACAAGTCACTAGAAACCATTTTAAATTAAATAATGACTGCACTAACTTAACAAAATAATGACAAACATTTTGATTACAATCTCACAAGTTTGAGGCTAGGGGAATGCTCCATCAATCTAGGAGTCTAAAGCGACAAAGCCAAAAAAACGAAAATAAATAAAACTATACTAAGGCAGTTACACAAGCACGTAATCTCAGATCCTACATTCTATATGACACAAAAATGACTAGATAAACAAAAATACAAAAAAAAACAATCTAATAATAAGTTTCTCTTTCGGCCCATCCTCCTGGCCAACGTCTGATTGCAAAACGACGTGCTTCATCATAAACAAAGATCAGTACTGAGAATGGCAGGGCACAGAACCACCATGAGAATCTGAAGAGGAGGAACTTTGGCACGAAATGTACAAAAAACCCTTGGAAAGGACCCTCACCTCAATCCATACATACGTAGACCGTTGTCAAGCCCTGGACAATAGCACATGAACCATGCAAGTGCTGTTTCAAACACTAGACCGAAGTTTAGGGTCCAGTTTGTCATACCCTAAAGCAGATGTTGTTGTATAAAAATAAATTTTGCCTTAAAATTTATGAACTAAAAGCTAGAAATATCGTATCTGCTGGACAATGGAGTTACGACGGGTTTTCGAGATGATCAAGTCAGCCCACTGTACAATGACGATGGAAACGAAATAAGCAGTCTGGCAGGTGTATTCCAGAATTTTGCGATTTGCATAGGTCTGAAAATCAATTCTCAATGAATTATTACCTTTCATATGTTCAAACTTTGTGTGCTTTTCCCACTTAAAACAAGGAAGACGGCTCTTATGCACCCATACAGAATGCTACCGTAAGTGTGTGGCCCGACGTATCCCTTACCGTGTGCACAAGTGAGAAGCAATAACCCTTAGGCGAAAGTTCTCAGGGGAAGGGCCCAAAGACGATTTTGCGTTCCAAAGCTTCCCACGACTATGCAGACATTATATGAGTGCAAATCATGTTCAAATTGTTGTATTTCTCACTTCCACTAAAGAACAATGAGAGAACTCTCTTATGCACCTATACAGTATGCTACCGTAACCGCTCCCGTGTGCGTGGCCCGCTGCCGAATTTGCCGGCCACGTGCGAGCGAGGAGCAGTGACGACTCAATATCGCCTGCTTAGACAGAAATGTTTTGAATGGAGCGGCTATCGAAGCTATTCCTGCCTTACAACGGTTTCCACTGGTTACGGTAGCCTACGGTGTTTGGACGCGAAAAGACTGTGGTTTTAAGAAGCACGCTGAAAATTGAGTGGAATAGGTGAGATCAAAGGAAAAGAAGGATTTTTCATTTTAACTTCTCAAGTCTTTCGAATAAAATAGCCGTCAGGCCATGATCTAACAAAAGTACCGGAGTAGGTTTTTTCTTTCACAGACTTCCAGGATCTATTTTCAAAATTGTGCCAGAACTCACCCATTCTTGTCCATATGAATCCCTAACATTGTTGTATGCACGAGAATCCCATTGGGCACGAAGTTGATAGAGATCTTTTGGCCAGAAGCCGTTATCGGCCATGATCCAGAAGTATGTGAAGAATCCAGCAGATGCCTAAAAACACCCCTTGAAATCCGCCCAAAACAGCGAAAAAAAGGGTAGGCTCAAAAAATGAACCTGGATAATACCAATTTGTCCGTAAGCCAGCGAAATTAGACGTTCGTTCACGAGTTTGTCACGAATGGGGTCGCGAGGTTGCCTTTTCATAATATCCGATTCAGCTTCCTCGTAGGCAAGAGAGATAGCGGGAACCATATCCGTTCCCAGATCAATGCAAAGGATAGTGACGGTTCCTAGTGGAAGTGGGATACCAAACAGGATGTAGGTGAGGAAAGGTGAGATCTCGGGAATGTTTGAGGTCAGCGTGTAAGCGATGGACTTTTTGAGATTGTCGAAAATGAGACGTCCTTCTTCAACGCCGATGACGATGGAAGCGAAGTTGTCATCGAGAAGGATCATGTCGGCTGCTTGTTTGGAGACGTCTGAGCCGGCAATACCCATAGCTACACCTGTAAATTAATACTTTACAAATACTGTCATTGTGATGTAAATTTACTGCAGAAAAGGGGCGGAGTGCCAGAAAAAACCCCATAAAAGGACATGCCATGAATGTTGCTGGACAAACGGCAAGGAAAAAGTTGCGCAGTCTCAAACCTTCGCTGCAAATCTCTACAATTCTTCAAGAAGCTGACGCTCAACGACTTCGAAATAGGTTTGGATTTTTCGAGATCAAAAGAATATCCACTCATTTAGGCAAAAACAAGTTGTATAGCAGATTTTAGCCCGTGAACCACGGTACAGTCTTCCTGCCTTTGCTCCGTTACTATAAAAGGCTGTAACAGAGTTCAGAGAAGTACCCCCCCCATTTGTTCTATTCCCAGCCCTGACCCTCCAAAAGATATCTATCTTTCAGAAGAAAATTTTGCGCTACTTAGCATGCAATAGCCACTCAAAACTCTCAAAAATGATCTTTGGAAAGTTCGCGAGTCTAAAAAGTATAACAAACCAATGTCAGCTTTTTTCAGAGCAGGTGAGTCGTTGACACCGTCCCCAGTCACAGCAACAATTTGTCCCTGTCTTTGGAAACCTTCCACAATCATCAGCTTTTGTTGTGGTGATGTTCGGGCAAACACAATCTCGGAGTGGTTGCGGATGACCTAAAATCATCCCCATTTCAAATGGTAAATTGACTTAGAGGAGGTAGGGAAAAATAAACATATCACTAGAATTAACTTTACCAGAAATGCCTTACCTCAGCCAGCTGATCCTCGCTCATCTCTCTCAGATCTGACCCGTGCACTACAGCCGCTTTTGCTTCGCAAGGATCAACATCCTCCACTGGAATTCCACGACGAATGGCAATGTCCTCCACGGTCTCGGCTCCTTCACTAATGATCCCCACTGACTTAGCAATAGCCTTAGCGGTGATAGGGTGATCACCAGTGACCATGACGACTTTGATACCAGCGGATCTACACTTCCCGACGGCATCGGGCACAGCCGCACGTGGCGGGTCAATCATGGACATCAGTCCAACGAAACGCAGTCCCTTCAGTGGGAAGTTGACCTTTTCAGTGTCGAATTCGTAGCCTTTTGGATACTTGTCGGCTGGAAGGACAAAGTCGCAAAATCTGCAAAAGCGAATTTTGGAACGAAAAAAAAGGAAGGTGGGAAGAATTTACCCTAGCACACGCTCCCCCATTCCTCCGAGTTCCAAATAAGCGCTGTTAAAATCGGAGCGAAGCTTTTCGTCCAAGGCCTCCTCTTTACCATTTAGGAATATTGTGCTGCACACTAAAGTGCGGTCGTCTAACGCAACAATCGCAAAATTTTTTGCATAATTTCGAAATAACTTTGTAATTTATTAAACAAATTATTTCAATTTTCGTGGCAGCCTTTATCGATAAAGAAAGAAGACAGAACATGGTACTAAAAATGGCTGTGACAGGGGGCGCAGTCTGCCAATCACAAAAACGACTGGCTGTTCTTTGAACATTTGTTCTATTCCAAGATATTTAAATAATACAAATAATAAAAACCTGTTTACGACATGTGATTAACCAGTTTCGATGAAGAGCTTACCATCAAGAATACGTTCTGGAGCTCCTTTCATTACAAGAAGATAGCTGTCGCTTTCGGGAACATCATGTATGGAGACCTGGGAAAAATCCCAATTGTTCACAAATTTATACCCTCTTTTCAAACATATTTACGTGCACTGACAAAGTTTTGGAGGATGATCAGAAACATAAAACCCAGTACCTGATACTTATTTGTTGAGTTGAATGGAATCTCGGCGACTTTGGGTGATTTCTCACGAAAACCATGAATGTTTCCGATTGTCAGCTCAGTGAATTTTAGTAGAGCAATCTCAGAAGCGTCGCCGGTGCAGTCTCGACGGAGAATGGGAATGTCTTGTTGCCCTGGCTTGAATTCGGCTCTGAAAAAGATTTACAAAATATGCAAAGAAGCAAAGGCATCGTCTAGACAGTTCTGGGCAGCTTATTGTTTTAAGAACAAGTGGAGGCCTCGACAATGGTCATACAGCAGTTCGTGTAATCCATTCATGGCGGGAAGCTCAAGTCTCAACTCCGCCCGCAGTGCGCTCTTTTGAACGGACCAATCAGCGCCTTCGAATACGGTATGGGAGTGTTCAAACTTGGATTTCTCAGATGTTTTTGAGGAAATGGTTCAGATAAAGCTTCCCAACCATTATTCACATATATTTGAGGTGGACCCAAATGTGGTGGACTAACCTGTTGCAGAGTGCAGCAATGCGAACGAGAGCATCAAACGTTGGTCCCTCCTTCCTCCTAGCTCCACCGCTGGTCTGATTTTCGGACGTATCACATTCTTCGATAGTCTTGTCGTACCTTCAATAAAACTTCTAATCGTAGTGATTGTAATTTTGCTTCATCTTAGAGCATAAAAAATGGCGTATAAAGAATTGTTCTCTTTGGACTTCAAGTATTATAGATGTCAGATGTGCGCTGATGAAGGCCATGTAAGTTATGAAATATGTAAAACCCGTTTATTTATGTTGTTCATGCTGACACTCATTTCCCTCTAATAAAAAAAACAGTTTCCTCACTACGGCAAAAACACTTAGTTGACTCTTTTGATAGAATAAGAGATGGCACATTTGCCCAGTACGGTATCCTATACTCGAGGTGCATAATGGCGTGGCACAATGGCATACGTCTAGTGCACCAAAGACCTGCTTTCGTATAAATGAATATCAGTTTATCAAGCTTAGAGTGTAACTAGGAGCAATAGCTATTATCCCATCACCAGTTATGAAGGAGATGCCATTGGTCATAAAGAGAATTGTTTGCTAAAAGATTCAGGAGCTTATCTATGTAACTAGGGGGTGGAAGCAGATTCTGAACTAATGTTATGGTCTTGTCAGTTTTGCATTACATATCAAATCTCCTCCATGTCAATTACCCTCAAACTTCGCTCGATCATAAGTCTCCGTTCGGAAGCTATCTACGTAATAAAGAATCCAGTCCAAAAGTTTGGAATCAAGCAGACGTGAGGTAATGCACAAAATACCTTTTTTAAATCAGTCTAAGACTTTGCTAATCCTTTGATGCAAATAGGTGATAAGAAAGAACGGGAAGCAATGCCGTGTTACCCTTCCGTTCTTTCAAATGCAACGTAGTCTTTGATTCAACTGGCTTGGCGGCTGGGAGGCGGGGCTTTGTGACCTAATTAAGGTCGCTGACGCCGCGACGCAGTCTGGTCTTTCTCGCGCGCGTGCTCTCTGATCATTATCTAGCCTTAATTAACTCACGAAGTTCCGCCTTCCAGCAGCCAAGCCAGTTGAATCAAAGGATAATGGTCATAAGATTCTCACAATTCTAGGATTTTTGCTTCTAGCGCTATTTTTTGCAAATCATGATTTTATGTGCGTGATTGAAAAAAACCAACTTTTTCCTAGTCTGCATCGCACATACAGTTGAGTAGATATTCACTTGATATAGCGTGCTTGCGGTGCCGAGAAAATGCTCCTGTGACTGCCGGCCATTTGCGCGCAAAATGCCGGCATTGCTTTCTATTTACGCGCAAATTCTACCGCATTTTCTCGGCACCGCAAGCACACCATATTGAGCTGAATTTTACTTTGTTGTTGCACCCTGCAATGATTAGCGAATCCTAATTTTGTTTGGTACTTAGATGTATGATTTGAACTCAAGCCTTGTTTCTTTTGAGATTTTTTTTTCACAAAATTACATGTAGCGCCATCTCAGCTAGTCCTCAACTGTAATCATCAAAAAAAAAAAGACTTTGATAACGGAGTGACAGCTACATCTCTTTTTCTACTGATAAGGCAGGCGTATTACCGACAAAAACTTATCACAGTTTCCGCATAAACAGACATCAGAAAACAGATCCAACATTTCTCAGATTCTTTAGGAAAAATAAAAAAATAGCTTACCACATATGTGCTACAGTCATCCTATTCTGCGTTAGCGTTCCAGTCTTATCGGAGCAAATCGTCGAAGTCGATCCTAAAGTCTCTACAGCCTCCAAGTTCTTGACCAAGCAGTTCTTGCTAGCCATTCGTTTCGCAGTCAAGGTCAGACATACGGTTACGGTAGCGATAAGACCCTCAGGCACGTTTGCGACAATGATACCTACAAAGTAATACGTCAGGGTGAAGGAAAGATCAAAAAGAATTACTTTAAATGAAAAGGCCCACCAATAAGGAACACAACAGCCGTCAGCCAGTGATATCCCAGAATAAACGCAATTATGAAGAACGACACTCCAAGAAACACTGCCACTCCGGTGATCAAATGGATAAAATGCTCAATTTCTCGTGCAATAGGTGTCATGCCGGTGTCAAGCCCAGAAGCCAAATGAGCAATTCGACCCATGACCTAAAATTTCGAATTTGGATGATTTGAAAACTGGCTGTTTTTCTAGCTCACAGTTCTATCTCCAGTACAAATGACGATTCCCTTTGCAGTTCCTTCGACGGCATTAGTAGAGAAGAACGCGATGTTACGAGTTTCTAGAGGATTCTCATTAGTGCATTCTGGTGATCGTGACTGCGGTTCGGATTCTCCGGTCAAGGATGAGTTGTCCACCTGAAAATTAAGGACCCGCGCTCACATTCATCGACCATTCTTTTTTTTTTGAAGTAAATAGAGCTTGATTGTCGAAATTTTGAGTAAAACCGCTGCTAATTCAGTTTAGTTCAAGTTTCTGTGTAGTCGCTGCTACTTCGATATTTTCTAACAACGAGTTTTACAGTTGCTGCTGCTTCATTATATTCTAAGTTTACTTTTCCAAGTTTGCTATCAGGAGATACCGTATCCCGAACTGCATTACATCATCGAAGTCGTGTGTCATCGTTGCTATCTTGATATTTCAAAGTCTTGAAAGTGTTTTTCAAGAGATACCGTATTTCAAGCGTGTTACAGCACTAAAAAGTACAAGAATTTGTCAACAAAACCATCCCACCGGTTTTATGGCATACTGTAGTTTTGTTGCCAAGTTTGCTATAGATCAACACACGATCACGATTAGGTGATAACATAAAATATCTGTGTAATTTTCTGCATCGCAACGATCTCTCGCGAAGAAAAAATACAAACTCTAATGGCTGCTTGCGATTCTGAGAAGAATCACGCCAATTCACATTGTTGAGATTGAGAATTTCCCACCTTGAAACCAAAAGCCGAGATGATTCGGATATCAGCTGGTACACGATCTCCACCCTTGACTTCGATAATGTCTCCTACAACCAGATCTTCAGTTCGGATTTGCTGTTTCTGTCCATCGCGGTGTACGAGAGCGAACTGGAAGTAAAAAGCTGGTATTGTTTCAGTAAGGTGGGTAAGGTAGGAGTAGGAGAGGGAATGGAAGAAGGAATAATCAAATGGGCAAAACCTACAGTCGGGACCATGCTTTTGAACGATTCCATAATTTTGCTTGATTTGCTTTCCTGATAGTATTGGAAGCAACCGGTGATTACGACGACGGTCATCAGTACGATACCGAGATACAGCTAAAATCGACATAATTGGCACACTTTGCCAATTTTATTGAATTTTATGCTTACATTATCTTTGGAAGGATATTCCATGGTGAAATAATCCACCGAATAGGCCACATAACATAGGAACGCACCAACCTATAATTCTCATAACTTTTCGAAGTTTCTTGAAAGTTATGATTATCCTACCCAAAGCAGAAGAGCGAAGCCACCGAAAAGATTTTTACAGAATTTTATCCATTCCGGAGTTGTTTTTGGAGGTGAAAGTGCGTTTGGTCCATCTCTGGCAAGGACTTCGGCAGCTCTCGCCTTTGTAAGACCCTATAAAAAATTTTAGCATCGGTTTTTTTCCTGCCACAGATTAGTTACGCATTTTGTATAACCCACAACTTATTACACTTTGGGACTGATCTATAATTGCGTAAAATACAAAGAAGGTTCTTTCACAAGAAAAAACCCAGAAATTTTTTGAAACCACTCTAAGCGGATTAAAACTGCCCAAGTTATCGTGCTTGCGAATGATTAAAATCGTTTGTAATCTCTCAAAAAAAATAATTCAGCTTTGTAAAAAAAAGCCTTCGAGGATGGCTGCCGCTGTAAAGATTTTACCTGGCCACGTCTCCTTTTATAAATAACCTCCTACCGGTCAAAAAAACAAACTGAAAATCTAATATCTAAGAATTGGCAGTAGAAATCAACTTGGCTATTTCATTTTCTATAATAACATTTTCAGATTTTCAAAAATCACGCGAAGAAGGGAAGCTTATAAGAATTTCCGAAAAAATCTAATCTCTAAAACAAATCCTCCTTACACACGGAAATGTTTAGAATATGTAAGAAGTTGCTGATTTTGATATGTGAAAAGATTAAAACTGGAAAAATCATTGCAATGCTTAGCCGCACGTCTCTGCCTTCTGAAGGTAAGTACGATCAATATAACATTCAAAATAAGCATATATTCACTGCTCTACTTCATAACTTTTACTTCTCCCCCAACCCCCCCCCCCCCCGAGCGAATAGGTACATGAAAAGCCCTCGCCGTGTGCATTCTGTCCCTTGAGCGGCTCTATGTACTTTCATTACATCTGGAGTACATTGCGCTCAGCGCTTGCCTTTTTTTCCATTAAAAGTGCAATAACGTTAGCGGGCAGCTGCAAGCTCTTTGTCTACACTGGGCTTTCTTATAGAATGTAAATAATCGCGCTACATTCATGCAATGATTTAGAACAATCAGTCATAATGTTTCATTTATATGTGTTAAAAATTGAACTGAATAGAAACTTCGAACTCGAAGTTATATGATTTTAGCCTTGGTCTTTTGATTAAAGAGTGCATTTCGCCTGGATGCTGCAATACAGCGGTTGCGTGAAGTAGTGCCAAGAAGATCGGTGAAATAATAAAAGAAACCAGAAAGCTAGAAATTAGAGGTTGTTTGGTCCCTGTTCTTCTGACGTTTCAGAAACTCATCAACATATGAATGCCTCACAACGTACGGCGCAAATCATGAATATGCCTTATGATTCACATATTACATAGCTATTGCATTTCTAAACCTCTTCCATATGTACTCCGTACAATCTGCCTTTCATAACCTAATGCAAAATTTCCCGTTTATATTTTAATCACAGTGCGAAAAAAACTTCGCACAAAAAACCAAGTCTATTAATAGCGCGTTGCGTAAGTTGCGTAATTCGCGTGATTGCGCAGTTTCAACAGAATGTTGCGCGAACATGCCCGATTCTCACGAAGTTTCATATCTTCTAGGCCCGTTGTAGGCATAGGTTAAGAAACTGAGGCAGGGACTACCATTCTTTAAGAGCATCTCATAAAAAATGGAAATTAGAGGTTAGGCTGTTTCCGTGTGCAGTGTACGGAATAACGACCAGTCCCTGCGTCAGGCAAGTCGCCCTTATCTTTTGGAGCCTTATACCAGCCCTCACACTGGTTTTTTCTCCAATGTTTTGGAAGACTAATTTGGGATGATTGCGAATTTATCAGACATCGCATGATATAGAATAATTTGTCTTCGTTCCTGGCTCACTGCCCATTCCCGTAATAAATGCGTAAACATGCTTATAGGCCATTAAGTATGCTATCAAAGTAAAGATGTTGACCCTTCTGCCAAAGATGGAAATTGTTTGTAACCCTTTTCGACTTCTGGGTACAATCTGTTAGGAAGATTATTAGATTGTAAGTATGCCATTGTTTAACTTTATAATTCTGCAAATTCAGAAGTGCAACAGAACTTACCGTCTCAATGTTTGAGTTATATCTCGCCGCAAGCTCTTCGAGCGGGATGATATGCTCATCCTAAAAACACAAGAATTTGGTCTTTGGTCTCTAGAACGTTTTGCCATTTTTCCAGTTCCTTACCATCTTGACTTCCTGTTTGAGCTCATTTAGATCAGCCGCTTTCTCCTTTGCTTTCCCCATTGCCTACAAATAAACTTATCATTCGGATTCAGAAAATTATCCGGCAGCAAACTCCAAAGTTTGTGCAAATAAACGATAAAAATCGGGATGGTCCGCAAAAACAGAAGAGCTAAGCAGTTGTGTAAAGAGGAGAGCTAGTTGAGCACGCAGCTAAGCAGCACAAAGACATTCAAATGCACTGGCGAGCAGGATGGCGCTCGAGAAGCGGAGCGAACGGGCAAAAAAAAACGTCGAAGGAAAGGGCAAAATAGTGATGTGCTTAGCGAGAGACAGACAGAGACCGGGAGCTGCGTGCATGTACCAGCTATTGGAAAAGCTGTGATGGCGACCGAGCCCCCAGCGAACGTCCAATATATCGGGGCGGCTTTCGAGCAAAAGTGCACGTGAAGCTGCTGTGTCGCGAACGTGAAGCGCTTCAGGGGCCGAAGGGGCGGAAGAGGTTGGATAGGAGTTGGAAAAGAAAGAAGAAAGAGCTGGCAAGTGCACGAGGAGACACGAGCACGTCAAAGCCAGGATCTTGAGTATGAAGCGCTTAAAGGCACCGTCCACCCTAAGTTAGGGGTCTGAGTTTTTGGCAGCTTTTAATAGTAGAGCCTCTATGAAACGTATGCCCAAGCAGCGGCGCAAAACGTCGCTTCGGAAGCGAGAAAATTGCTTCGGAATAGTGAAGATGCATGAGGATCCCTAGTCGGCACCGCTCCCTCCAGTAATGCCCGCCCATCCATACGCGCTCATCCAATCATCGTTCCGGAAAGCCGATCCGCAGGTTCTCCGAAACGGGAATTGTCAGATTTTTCGCGGATTCTCGACTTTATATTCGGAATCGAGGACATGAGAAGGCCCCGGAATGATCAAAACCTGGAAATCGAAAATCTGGGTAGACTGTGCCTTCAAGTATTTAAACTGATTAGTAGCGAATTAGAAACTAAGTTCCAAGGATTACAAATCATATTAGATGTTTCTGCGCGATTCTTTGTGGTGGCTTTTATAATTCACTCAATAATTGAGGACTGTAAAGTTTCTTGCTCGAATATTTCTAAATCATTATGTAATTTCGGTAATGGTAACACACAAATTTTGATCTGTGACACAAAGAAAGTTTTGTTCGTGTCCTTAGTATGAAAAAAATCTAGATAATCTTATCAGAAGACCTCAGTGAGGAAGGAACGCCCCTAAATTTTGTAAAAACAAGATGTTTGAGAACCTATGTTTCAATAAACACTATTATTTATCACTTAACTTTAGATATTCATGTTGTTGTCTATATATATGCTCTTTTGTAAGTCACTGTTCTGCGGACTGTGGCGCTTGTTCAAAAAAGGCGAAAATACTTTTGGGACGACCTAATACTACAAATTTTTTCTCGAACGGAAAGGATTTGATGAGTAGGTCCAGATATTTTTAACTATTAAAGATCTTCTGATCGCCATTCAGTAAGGACACCAAATTCGATTAGTCAATGCATATGAGACAGTTTCTGATTCACCGCTTTCGCAGAGAAGAACGAAATTGTTGCCATGTTTTTGTGGGAAGTGCTGCCGATGCTTCGACATTACTGTGGCTTGACTAGGGTCTAGCATTATTTACATCTGTAAGACAAAGGGGAACGTTTAAGAATCACAATAAGATGTACTTGTTATATTTTTTCACACGTTATTCCACTTTCAAGATTACCAGATTTGAGCTCATGCTTAAAGATACTCATATCGGATTCTATAGACTACATAGCAAAAATGGCAGAATAGAAGCTACGAATTGTATAACACAGGAAAACATGATTTTTGAGCACTGATTTTATTCAGATTGTTTCCCCATTTCAAGAAGTTCCCACTTATCATGGGACCAACAATTTAATGGACTCAGCGGCATGTAGACATAACTAGCTGCATATAGCTTATCAAGTTTGAGAATTTCCATATTTGAGAAGGAAGAATAAAGCAAAGGTAGTTCGCTTTTTTATCTTTTTTCCTTTCATCAGACGATCTTTTCTCACTACTGATGACTTTCAGGGATGGTCGTATTCATTCCTAATTTACTTCTAGTGGTAGGAAAGAAAGGAAAACTAGAAATTTTTTCTCCTTAGTATTGATAGTGGCACTCGTCAACTCTGTCTTAGGGCAAATTAGGAACTACATGTATTAAGTGCGAGCTCTCATAAACGGAAATACGCAGTAAGGGCGATTGAAGCCGTAGCTGTGAAGTGCAAAGTACATCAAAATAGATACTCCACTGTATGAAGACACAATTCAGAAGTCTGATTGAAAAACTCAGGTCATCTAGGCTGTGAAGAAAGATTGATATTTGGTAGCGAGTGCTTGGGATTACTGTAGGGGCGAGTGCGCTACATTGCTCAGCCGAAAGCGGCCTCAAATGGGCGCAGAGCTTGGGCGTAACGACTAGCAGGTGAAGCGGACGTGAAGAGCACGAGCACTGTGCATTGGCTGCATCTGGCCGAACGAGAAGACACTCCCCACTAGTCTATGAGCGTTGCTCAAATCAATAGCATGACTAGTTCTGTGAGCACTTTCAAACAGCACACATAGCGAGAATTCCCTTCCAAAGTGCAGGAATCCGCCTTGCAATGCTTTCCTTTGCAGTGTTCATCGCACTGCAACAGCTAAACCGCCGAACTGGCCGTTATTGCGGGACACGCAACGCACGATGAAATGCTTATCCCAATATCAACCCAGGTTAGGAATAGAAATTGGAATAGTGGGAGCTCGCCTTGCAACTGCTCGCTCCGAACTGTCACAACAATATTAGACCGCGTTCAGAACCTATGTTTGCATCTCCTTCACATCGACTTCTGAGTGTCAAAACTCCAGCGCGTGGCACGCATGTAAAGCCTCCAGCAAAGCGCTCACCGCTTCACATGAAGTGTTTGGGCGTACTTTTGGTTGAAACTGTACATCAGATAACCGCCAGCTCAGATAATCGCCGGGGGCAGGCGGTACGCAAACTCGCGCTTTTCTGCAAGCGGTCAGCAGGATTTTGAGGCGTGGCCAAACCTTCAGCGAGCGGTACTTCCTTCACTATCTAAGGTTCTGCCAGCGGGCAGCAACACAGAATTTTCTGCAGGCGCTAGTCTAATCTCTTTCCGCAAACGCTGGCCGAATTCTCAGCAGGCGCTCGGACTCTCCTAACGCAGTTTCGGGCATACATCGAGCACAGGTAAGACTCTGTGTGGCAGAGGTGACACCGTTGGTTTAATTACTCAAGTTTGAGGTACTCCCTCCCAACGGAAAGTACCTGGGGGCCGCACGCTCCTCCACACGAAGGGGCGTGCGGCCCTCGAAAATTTTGCATATTCTCGCGGAAAGCCCGCGAGAATGCGGCCACTGCGCCGCAGCTAATCTACAAGAAAACCGCGATTGTTCTTCAAGCATTCGTCTAAAATTTCGCTAAAATTCTTCCAAATATCTGCAAGCGGATCGCAAGAAATCAGCGAACTATTTTTCCCGTGCTCGCCCGCCGATAAATCGCATGGCCGCCTGCCTCCGGCGATTATCTGAGAGGGGTAGGCGCAAACTCGCGCTTTTCTGCAAGCGATCAGCAGGAATCTGGGGCGTGGCCAAACCTTCAGCAAGCGGTACTTCCGTGTTCTGCCAGCGGGCAGCAATACAGCATTTTCTACAAGCGCTCAGCAAATAATCTCTTTCAGCGAGCGGTGGCCAAACTTTCAGCAGGCACTCGGACTTTTCTTACAGTTTCGGGCGTACGCCGAGCAAAGCTAAGACTCTACCTGGCAGAGGTGTCGTCGATGGTTTGACTACCGGTTGAGGTACTTTCTCTCAGCGGAAGGTACCCATGGGCTGTGCGGTCCTCCACAAGGGACCGTGCGGCCCTCAATAATTTTGTAAATTCTCGCGGAAATTCCGCGAGAATGCGGCCACTGCGCCGTAACTAATCTATGAAAAAGCCGCAATCTCCAAGCATTCGTCTGAAATTTCGCGAAAATTCTTCCAAATATCTGCAAGCGGACCTCAAGAAATTGGCGAACTATTTTATCGGTGCTCGCCTACCCATAAATTATGGCCGCCTGCCCCTGGCGATTGTCTGAGTATGTGCTCCACTTTCAGCCGCCGACGGCCGCCGCAAACAGTCTAAGAACAGGGTTCGGCACAGATCGAATGGAAGCAACCTGGACTTCGTTTTTGCGACAAGAAGCAAAGGGGATATCTTTTTATGGGGTCCGGGGCGGAGCCTCGGAAAAAATCGTGTACATGCACTACTATCGACGTGAAGGCAATTGCACATACAGTGTGCAAGACAATTCAACATACTTCCTGTAGTGCCAGAAGCGATCCCTCAGCCAAGCACAAGCTTTAAAGACGGTTATTACATGATGGACGTGCTCCATCGTGTCTTGCGAAAGGCTTAGTGATTTGAAAGCAAAGCCAAATTTGACAAATTGCTTGTTTATAGCATAGAGATAAGTATATGGCACCAAATTTCAACTGTAGGCATGAAATATCATTTACAGAAGAAATGTGTAAAAAGTTCTGGAAAATTACGTGAAGTACTACCTTTTTCAAAATTAGTCTGTTTCCAGACGGCCGCCAGACGATCTGAAATCGTTTGGAGCATATATTTTTGAAAGACATTCTCATACCATGACCTTTCCTTTGTTTTTTGTTTTAATTTCTTCATAAACTTTGTTAGATATGGTGCTCCAATGCCAAACTCTTGTGCATGCGTAGTATTCAGCAGATTAGCAACTCTTTCTTCTCTTCATCTTTTCTCAAGTCGGAGGTCAAAGGGAACCGTCTTTGTTTTTAGAAACACTAGAACTCGACTCGTGGCGGGCCCTGTCCCAGACCGCCCAGCAGAGTGATACATTATGCGCAACCATACCTACCAATCACTGGCATACCTTGTCCACTCAAAACACAATGGAAAGGATCGACATTTTCCACTTCCTTCTATATAACATTTAACAACGATAAAATCGACAAAGGTGATCGATAATTGAAGAATAGTACTGTGATCGTGATCAGCATTTCGA